TCTCTGCGGTGGTGAGGTGTAAGGGAAGATAATTCGGAAAAAGGTACTGGTGCAGGCGTCCAACACATGTTTTACATCCCAATTAGTAGCAATGATGATCCAGAAATGGACGACAAAGCAGCCACACCATCAGTCCGCGGTCAGTCATTCGGAGGCAGTCGGGCCAGGACAGTGGCCACCGACGGCGGACGGTAGCAGGGTTCAGCCATGAAATATATGCCAGAAGGACCTTCATTCTGTGGCTTGGTTTTCAAAGAAGAATCTCCAGTTCTATGGTTTTTATCACATGGTTTTTAGCAGTTTCAAGCTTCCGAATTTGTTTCCGCCTAAAGTGCCGTGACAAGTTTTATCTCTTGAAAATCAGCCAGCGAAATGAAGGCGCATGCAAAATCTACTGTACTGTGAGCCATCGATTCACCTCAAAAATTCTCACCAGCCTATGCTCAGGCCATATTTTGGCATATACCCTGTGGAGACAGATGCCTCCCCAATGACCCAAAATGCCTACCCACTCGTGGAATGTGGAATTTCGGCTCCCCAGGAAAGGCAACGTTGAAATTGACGAATAATCTTGGGAAGCTGGATAGCCTTATTTCCCGAATGACATAGATGAGTCGGATAGGCAAGAGCATGCACTAGTGAGAAGCAGCTCTAGATGCATGTCTAGAATAGCAGTCATTACACCTGAATAAAGAGTGATAACCTCCATATTTCCCCCCCCCCCGTCGCGGTCACCCGGCTGGTTTTCCAGAAAAGTTCCTGAAATGTAGCCTGCACTTAGCCCCCCCCCCCCCTACACCTCTTGAAACGTTCCCTACGCCTATGCTCGCATATCGTAGAAACAAAAAACTGGACGCTAGGCGTTGCAGCGTCCGTTGGCCGCGCAGCCTTGGCCTCGCGGCTTATAGTAGAGCATGGCCAACAGATGGGCTTAAAAAGTGAAGCATCTGAAAGAAGTACCTGTGAACGCTTTTGGACACCAAAGCAAGTATTTAGAGACACTCCAGGCGGATGTATCACCTGTGCGGTCTTTAGATTAATAACAATAACGTATCGGTCTACAGCGCCGCCAAGTGGTGCTGGAATCTGGTGGTGAAACTGGAACAGTGGGGTAAAATTACATTTGTTGTAATGCTCTAACTGATAATCTATCCAAAGAACATCCATGAAGTGGTAAAAAAAATTTGCATTGTGTAATCCCTAAACTGTACGAATTAATTTTTTTTAAAAAACATTCAAAAGCACTATTTTACTATGGTAATTGTTGCTCGCTCGTCGCCCGCCTCCTGGCATTACTTGTAGTGGCCAACGTCGTCCAGTTTTACGAAAACCGCAACCCCAGCCAGCGCTATCCCTGCTCCCTGAGATGACGACCGTGTTGTTGGAGCTTTGTGACGGACTCAGCTGCTGGGGCTACATGGGGCCGCCAGCCTCTCACCCTGGCGGGAAGGGCGGACACCGCGGGGAATCGAACCCCGTACCTGTGGTTTCTCGGACGTGCAGTAGTTGACGCCGGCGCGTGAACCACTACGCTATCGGCACCCGACGCGTAGACTCAAGCACTTTGATGACATTTGTTTCCTGGCCAATTCTGATGAGCATGCTCGGGGATACATGGGATAGCCCTGTGCGTTTTGGACTCATTTCGACCCACTCCATTCAGCGCTAATGAAACCCCTTCTTTCTTTGCGGTACAGGGGCCCCTTGAATACAACACTACAGGGCACATTGTTGTTCCCGGTCAGGAGCTGAAGGGACATTCTGTTCCATCGCGGTGCGTTTTCTGGCCGTCATTCTGGCGACACGGCGCGGCACCCTCAGGCCGATCTGGAGTCTGGAGGCCGTTAGAAGAATATATCATAGCACATTGGTCCACTCCCTGACTCGGGAGGTCTTCTGACCCGCGCAGTTGACTCCGGATCGACACACGAACCGTCATTAACATAACAACATCCTCGCGCACCGCAGGTGCTCAAATAACTAGCATATAGACTCCAGTTCGGCTTAACACGGTTAGATTCCTTCGCCGGTTCCTGAGGCCGGTTAGATTCCTTCGCTCGGGTGGAGGGCCAATTTGACGCCGCTGAGATCTCAGGAACTAAAAGAGCTGGGGACACAAAATTCACAGGGTGTCTTAACCTGTACGTGAAATCATTTAGGTCCAGTTTTTAAGCTTCTGGGTTATGACCTTCGGGTCAAATAAGGCCAAACAAGGTCGAATTTCAGGTTGGTCTCCAAAGGGCTTCTAGAGTCTAAACACCTGTTCTAAACAAAAGTTTACACGCTCATTTAAGGTCAGTGACCTTTTTTGACCTTTTGAAAGTCATGGTGGCCAATATCATACAAGACTGCTTTGAGTTTCGCATTTGGATAAGCGACAAAGATTCCGCTAGGCAGTATGCTCCCAAAAAACAAAATGCCGACCCGGGTCATTTTAGATCGGTGACCTATTCTGACCTTCAGTAAGTCCATGGAAGGTGCATAAAACGGTTTCTGTTATCAGTAAATTCGAAATGAGCACCCGAGCCTACCCCAAACAGCAAGCCCTAGAGTAGCAAAACAGGTTGATTGTGGCCTTGGCCTGACTTTCATACATGACCCTAGACCCATGTGATTTGTTCATTAATTGTTGTGTTGCCTAAGAAAGTATCTCAGAGATGTATGGCCTCTTCTAACACTCCGTTGTTGGATGAGATTGAACGATTTCCTAGAAATTGCCTTCGCTGAAACAATGGTCTGACTTTGACCCGTCATAGGTCAGCAACCTTACAAGGTACGTTTAAATTTTTGGTGCCAGACGATCTGTTATTCAATTGTCTACAACTCATCTAAATTTGGCACGGGGTTGCTGCGGCGTTCGGAAACCATTTAGAAAAAAACCTTTGGGGGGTCAATTTGACCCCCACCCGAGTGGGTGGTAATGGGCCTCTGGAAAGAGCTGGAGGGCCCACCGTTCGGTACTGGGGGCCCTTACTGGCACAGTACTCTTCTACCACCTCAGTGAAAGTACTCATTATAAGTTCTTGTTTCCTCCAATTGTTCGAGAGCCCCGACCAACGCAAGTGACTCTCTGCCATTCGGGCTCCCGTCTCCGTCCCTGCCAAACAAACATTTCCCTGACTGATTCGAGGCCCCTTGTTGGCACAAAATGCCCTGTTAGGCACTGTGTACCCCTGAACGATACAGGAGCCCGACCAATGTAAGTCGCGGAACCAGCCTTGTTCTTGCTTGGGAAATGGGCTCCCAGAGCTCAGAACAACACGGAATTGACCGTTCGTTGTCCGTGATCTCTGGCCGAAACAGAAGAACACTCTGTCTCAGGGGACCCCTATCGGTGCGAAAGATCATGTTACTGACATTTGAGATCACGGCCCTTTGAGCGGGGTCCTTAATGTGACCCACAGCCAGCCCTTCGGACCCTTCAGCCATCCCATCGGGCCCTTGATATTTGGTCTCGAGAGACCCTTCGCCCCTTTTCGGGGTCCCCTTAAACACCGCCTCGACTCAGGGCCACTTGCCGCCACAAGACCCCTGTTAGGCACTGTGGCCCCCAACCGACACAGGAGCCCCTCATTGTGTCAGGAACCCCGAACATTGCAAATCGCGGACCCCGTTCTCGTTTCTGCTTGGGAAATGGGTCTCAAGGGCTCAGACGGCCATGGAACCGACTGTTGGGTGTTTGTGGTCTCTGACCGACTTAGACACCCGCATTGTCTCAGATGTTTCTGAAACGGTGCAAAAGGACCTCCGACTGATATTTCAGGTCACAACCCCACGGGCTGCGATTCTTTATGTGACCTGCAGCCAGTCCTTCGGGTCTGTATGCCTTTCAACCGGTCCTTTGATTGTAAGGTCCGGTGGGCCACCCGGGCCCCTCTTCGGGTCTCGTCAACACTTTCCTTGGTCGGCTCGGGGTCTTCGCGAGCACAGGGCCCTCTGTTAGGCGCTGTGGGCCCTGACAGATACAAAGCCGCGACCAGTGTAAATCACTGGCCTCGGTTTTACAGCTGGTTGGGAAGTGGGTCCTCAGGTCCATACCGACACGAAGCCAGTTACGTGGTGCGGTGGTACCTGGCCGACATTACGTGGTGCGGTGGTAGCTGGCCGATATGTAGGCCCACGTTGACCCGGGGCTCCCCGATGAGTGCAAAGGACCGTCTGGCCGTTATTTGAGGGTCCGTCTTCGCAGGTCGGGGCCCCTGAATAAGACTCCGGCCAGCCCTTTATGCCCTTAGACCCTCCAATCGGGCTCTTGGTCGTCGGGCCAGGTGGGGCCTTTAGGCCCTTCGAATCTCCTCGAATACTGCCTCTGGCCGACTCGGGCTGCTTTACAATACAGGGCCCCTGGCAGGTCTGTGGGGCCTGAGCAATGTAAATCGCTGATTTCGGCTTTGTCTCTGCTTGGGAAAGGGGCCCTTAGGCCCATGCCGCCAAGGAGCCGACTGTGCGTTACTGGTGGTGTCTGACCAAAATGTAGGCCCTTACCGATTCAGTGGGCCTCTGATCAGCGCGCTGGGCCCCCTGACTGCCATTTGCATGCCCGGCCCTGCGGGCTGGGGCCCCCGAATGAGACCTCTGCATGGCTTTTCCCTCAAAACGGGCTCTTAAATCGCAGGTCCCGGGGGTTCCGATGTGCCCGAAGGACCCCTCGGAACCTACGGGAGGGGGGGGGGGGGTACGCGCCCCCTGTGACCCCCTCCCCCTGCCTGCGCTACTGAGTACAATTATATGCAGTAGTGTTTCTATACGCGTCCACATTGAGCATACGAATCTCATGCGAATAGGAAGACCACATGAAGGAAACATGAACGCGCCCTGGCTGCACACCAATACCCGGGCAAGCGGTTCGCGGGTCGCTAGCTGTTTTCGAAAAGGTGAAGGCATGACACACGTGCCGCTGCATAGCTGAGAGTTTGTCCGGACTTGTCGTCGTCTGCTAGTAGCACCACACGCAGCTGTCCAGCCACCGAGAAGACGCCATGTCGGTCCCATTGCGTGCATTTGCCAGCAAGTATCAAAGTACATACCACGAAACAAGTGCAAATCACAATGCCACCTCTCAACCCCTCATTGCAACGGCTCATTTCAACATATCAGCACGTCGGATCGGTCGTGCTAAGCTTGCCCCAACGCATAAATAGAACACGGTGCACGCGAGCGTATCAACGATTGCGAATGTCGGAAAGGCAGAGACCGAGTAGCAGCTGCTGCAGCCATGTAGAGAGCAATGGAGGCAAAAAGGAAAGAAGGGCGAGACCAAAATGGCGACGGATGGCAAAGAAACAGATAAAAAAAACAGGGGCGGCTGTGAAAACGCTACATAGTCGGCGGCGCCCCGTCGTCAGTCAGAGCTTGAGTCGTTTCACCTCCTCCGGCTTAAAGTCGACCCGGAGAAGCATCACCTTGCGCACCTCTGCCGGCGTCAGCTTCCACGTCATCGCGGCAGAGCTGCCCCAGTATTCTGCGATCTCCGATACCTGGCGGGAAGCGGCGGAAGCTCAAGCGCCGGCGGGTCCGGCCGGCGAGAGCCTGACATTGCCAAGACAAGACAAGACAAGACGAGTCAGGACACGGATGCGGAGCAGGGGGCGACGTGATCCAACGACATCGAAAAGCTCCACACATTAACCGCTGAAAGCAAATGGTCCCAGCCGGTGGTGAAACAGCACTCAACGAAAGCTCCCTTACGCAAAACAGCATCCAACGAAAGCTCCCTTGACGCAAAACAGCACCCAACGAAAGCGCTTTTTATGCAAACTATTAAATGACGCCACTGGTACATCTATAACGAGTGATAGCCATCCCATTTTATTTCACCCGGAAATGGAAAGATCGGTCTCCCGCTTTCGGAAGGAACCCCCTCGCTGCACCTCAGCTTCCGCCCATCTCAACGAATCAGCGAACTGAGCCCGCTGCCTGGCGCCGGACCCTGCCCGGAACGCCTCGTTGGCCGCACGCAGCGCACCTGCTCGAGGTTGAGCAGCGTCGCCATCTGGGAGAGGCGCGCCAGCCGGTCGCGCTCCGACCACGTGGTGACGGACGACAGGTAGGTGGTGAGACTGCGCACCTCCTTGTCGAACTGCAGACCGCCCAGCTGTTCGGGGCGCAGGCGGAGCGAAGTCAAGGGACGACCCGGTGAGCGCGGGGGGGGGAGGGGAGGAGGGGACAATACGAAAAATGGCGCAGAGGGGCAGCGTTGATGGCTGACCAGCCAGACACCGACACCGGTATGCACGAGGACAGGTGAGGCTCAATCGTCTGCACGAGACGTTGAAAGTAAGCCTCGTCCGAACACCGGACGGAACAACACAGCGCATGCCTGCAGTGGCAATATGAAAACAACCAATCTCACACTTGTGTATATGGTGCCACCCAGTAGCGTGCAAATCACCGACCAGACATAACTGGCATGACAAGGTGAACACGAACAAGGCGCACATCCTGCGATTATCGACTCGCGGCCAACAAAGCTCACCGCTCTGACCCAAATGACCCCCGTCCCGGCGCTTTCGGAAGCGCCCCCTCCCCCGCCCTTCCTTCCCATGTCGCGATCCACCACACTCACCCTGTTGAACCGGGACTTAAGCACATTGCGCTCGAGCTGCGTGGCTATCTCCTCGATGACAGCGCGCACCAGGGCCTGGCCGGAGGCGGGCAGCAGGGCGTCGCGAAACGAGGCCAGCAGGCCGTCCACCCGCGCCACCAGCTGACTCACGAACGGGTCGTCTGCCTCGTACTGCGAGAACTCGTCCTGATGCCCGCCAGAGGCCGCGGTCAGCGGGGGTGGGGGACGGGGGGCGGGGACGGGAAGCAGCCGAGCGACAGTAGGAGGACGACGGTAGGGTCAGGCGCTTGTAAAGCGCGTCACGGCGAGAGGCCAGGGAATGGAAGGGTGACGCGTCCGATGCTGAGGAGGATGGTCGTCTGGATGAAGACCATGCGGGGTGTATTCAGACAGAATGTACTGACTGCGTATCTGTGGCTAGTTACCGCGGAAACACGGTTCTTCGGACACAGTAAACGGGTGACACATGCCGGTTAGAGCCGCGTTTAGTGAGTGGCGTACTGCCCATCAATGCAATTTCAAAGATGTGCGTTTTCAGCTGTAGCAACAATAACCCTGACCGCCAATAAACATACAGAGTACAAGGTTACTCAGGACGCCGTATCAAACCACTAGAGCGCGTTCGAACGTTATTTTTCGTACTCACACCAGGCACAACTCGTTACGCCGTCAGGACCTCCCAACAAAACCACACCAATCCAACCGCTATGAACGCTATGAACGTCCGCCCCTCCCCCCCCCCCCCCCCCCCCCCCCCCCATCTCTCTCCGCACCCGCCGCGCCTAACCTCGGTGATATCATGGCTGACCGCCGTGAAGCCGTCCGCCCACGGTTTCACCCGGGGTTTGATGGCGCTGGAGCGCAGCTGCTTCAGGCCGACCTCGGCCAGCGTGTCGAACCGCGACGACGCCGCCTCCAGGCTGGCCAGGCACGAGAACAGCTTGTCGCGCTCGTGCGCCGACGCGCCGCCCAGCTGCGCCGTCGCCTCCTGGCGCAGTGTGGCGCACAGCGAGGCCACGTACTCCTGGCTGGCGCGCGCGTTGTTGAGCGCCGTCTGCGGGGACGGCACGGCAGGGTCATATCGGCAGGAAGGGTGACAGGAGGAGAAAGCTGCCAACGGTGATATAGGCGTCCACAGGATATACGCATGGTCCTATAAAAACACAAGTGGGGCACCCCACGCACAGGCAGTAAAGCGCGTTATATTTTGTTATCAGCCGTTTCACGTCAACGCCTCGAAGGCAAGAGCCAGTGTCTCCTGGCCCATTCGTGTTGAGGTCACACCCGCAATGTCTCCCGGTGACGCTTGCATCTCGAAACCTGGTGAGAGTGAATGGCCTATCCGTTAGCTGATGTTGAGGGGGAGCGGCCTAACCCGCGACCTCGGCCCGCCCGCACCGCCACGCCAGCACCACCCACCAGGAACTGCGTCTTCTGGGCGTCGGTGTCAGCCGCGTGCAGCTTGCCCTGCTGTAGGCTGGTCTGCAGCGCGCTGTACGCCTGGCTCAGGTCCAGGTAGCCGGACGGGAAGCCCTGGCGCAGGTAGCGCTCGAGCACGGCCGAGAACTCCGTCTCCAGCAGGGTGGAGGCGATGTTGATCATGGCGCACGTGCCGTCCACGCTGCCGCCGGAGAGCGCGCGCCTGCCGCACGGCGGAGGTCGGGCGGGGGTCAGAGTCTGAGCTCAGTAGCGTGTTGGCTGGGTCAGTGTCAGAACATGACGGAAGCGGGGGGGGGGGGGACACCATCAGAACCAGGCAGGGTGGCGTGGGCTGGAGACATCAGCCGCGCCGAGCATACACCGCGCCGTCGGTCGTCGCGCATCGCGTCGCGATAAGCAGACATCCGATCAGTGATCAATGATCACTGATCACGAGCACTGATCAGTAGTCAGTGACCAGTGCCGTGGAGAATGCGCCGACAGGCGGAGGACATGTCGGTTGTCGGTCCACAGCGACAGCTGACGGGCGGATCGCGTCGCATGAACAACTGTGCGGAGCACCGGCTGACCAATGATAACGACAGCCGCAATAGCATCAGCCGACATCGGTTCAGGCGCGGAGCGGTGGACGGTGGCCGGTCCCCAAAGCCAAGCAGAACAGGAGACGAGAACAGCGCTTGACATTTGTGCTCAGCCTTTCGGAAACAAACGGACCAGACACCGAACTCATCAGGATAGGGCCATCATAACTCGTCAACCCACCTAATGCACTTCTTAATGATGAAGAACACGTCGTCGATCATGCTGGAGGTGAGGGAGCCCTCTTCGATCGTGTCCAGCTTCACTGCCTTGCTGATGCATTCCGTCAGGTAGTAGCTGCAACGGCATACGGACGACAGCTTCAGGTCATGCTTTCCGAGATCTCTAGGTGGGGTCCGCCGCAAGTTCAAAACGGGATAACGTAACTTAGGTAAAATCTTCGCCAGCTTCAGCCAACCACAGGGTGCATGAGTTCGCTTGTGGAGCCAAGTTGACGGCTGACACGCAGTCAAGATAAAACATTGGGGCCCTTTCCAGCCTTCTGGGGCTTCCCAAACTTGTTCACAAAAACCAAACTCGACAACATGGACGTTCTGTTTTCAAACCAACACAACGATCAGTTAAGCACGCATGTGGCATGTCGTAATTTTATTATGTGCTGCTATATCGCTGCCAGCCGGGGGCTTCACCAGTAGGCAATCAACGCCCGAATTCGTCTACTGATTGATCCTATATAAAAGTGTATGTTTTCCAAGCCCTGGCTTCGGTCGATGACGACCGATGTAACCATTTATCAGCGAGTATGCAGGATGGGGGGTGGGTTGCATCCGTGTTGAAATGCTGCGGCGTTGACCTGTGACAAAGTATCAATTCCATGGAGTGAATGGTGTTGTGATGTGGCTGCCTTATGCTGACATGGCATAGTTCGAGCTCATCCTCAATGCAACCTCTGGCTTCATGAATGAAACCCGTTGCCGATGTGTTTATGTGCTTGTAAATGTGAGTGCACAGCCTGGCATAGCAAGCGAGCATACGGTTAGCATGTTGGCGATTGTCTCCTTCAGCGATTCGGCTGACCTCCGGTCTGTCAACTAAAATAATGATCAGAAATGCGATAATTCTGTTGCATCTTGCTTTAAATGGTACCACTCACATCAGGGTGGGGCGGTGTGGGCGGGCGGCTCAGCAGCCCGTCCCATACCCTAGTCGTACAGCTGTACCCGATCCACACGAGTCACTGCGGGCGAGTAAAAGACGAGATCGCTCTGAGGCCGCAGACTTGACAGACTTGCCGTAAAGATGTAGTGCTGCCACCCGCGGCGTACACACCGCGAGAAAACCTAACGACTTAACGACGGAGCGGGGAGCCGGGACTGACCAGCCAGGTGAGCGGCAGAAAGCTTCGACCATTCGTCCCCTCGTCAACGGCTGGGTCTGAGACACCGTCTGTTCTCACCGCTCCTGAGAGATGTAGTGTCCGACCAGATCCTAGGACGCCGCGTATCCTCGTCCTCCAGAGATGTTTGCCCGACCAGCTCCTGGGACACCGTGTGTTCCCACCTCTCCAGTGAGATGTAGTGCCCGACCAGCTCTTGCGACACCGTGTGTTCTCACCCCTCCAGAGAGATGTGGTGTCCGACCAGCTCTTGCGACACCTGTGTGTTCTCACCTCTCCAGAGAGATGTAGTGTCCGACCAGCTCTTGCGACACCGTGTGTTCTCACCTCTCCAGAAAGATATAGTGTCCGACCAGACCTTGCGACACCGTATGTTCTCACCTCTCTAGAGAGATGTAGTGTCCGACCAGACCTTGCGACACCGTGTGTTCTCACCTCTCCAGAGAGCTGTAGTGTCCGACCAGACCTTGCGATACCGTGTGTTCTCACCTCTCCAGAGAGATGTAGTGTCCGACCAGCTCTTGCATGCATCGGCTCAGCTCGCTGCCCTTGATGATGCTCTCCAGCTTGGCCGCCTTCTCGGCGCGCTCGTTATCGAAGAAGCCCACCTCGATGTCGCTCTGCCCAGGGCAACACCGACCAGGTCAAATTCGAAGGCTTTTTCGCTAAAAGTGTCCGTTTGTGTCCGTTTCATCTCTGTGCGCAACAGGGAGGACGTGCAACATGCAGAAAAACGCATTTGCTCCAATGCCCACGTGCCGGCCACATACAGACAATCTAATCTACGAGACTGACAGTGGTCGCCGCACACTGTACAGCCACTGGTCGGCTGGCTCTGCCTTGGAGCCAGTCAGGCTCCAAGAATCATCTTGCGCTCAACCTATAAATGCACACTAGATCTTAATCTCCACTATACTTTTTATAGCTCTGACTGGCCTGTTCGCAAACATGGCAACCAAATTATGGCTAGAGAACATTGGCAACTACCGTCCTGGAAGGTGATGGCGTATGATTTTTGACATCAACTGACACCTCGCATGAATACGTAGCTATAACGTGTCAGTTGTCATTAGAATAAACAGTAAGCAAAAACAGAACAACGAAAAGTGATCACGGATAAGAACCTATAAACATAGCCAGTGCAAGATAACCATATCGCACAAAATGAGTATGGCAGCGCAAAAAAGCAAGTGAGTATAACACAGCTTCCGTTGAAGAACGAAACTGCCGAAAGGTCCATTCAAACAGCTTCGTGCATTGGTCAGTACGACCGCAAAAATGTCAAGTAACGACTCCCGCTGCCCAGCCTCCTCGCCTCCTCGTGACTCACCATGACTCGCCGCCGCACGAAGCGCACGTAGAGCTCAGCCCGCGCGTGCATGATGATGAGCTCCCCGAGCAGCGGGTCGAGCTCGCGCGGGTCCGGCGCCGAGGCGGGGGAAGAGGCGGCGGCGGTGGCAGCGGCCGCGCGAGACGCCCGGAGACTCTCATGGACCCGCGACACCTGCCGCCGCGGGCCAGCAGACTGTCACAGGCAGACACGTGGCCAAAACTCTCCCTCGTGGGCGGGGAGTCAAATTTACTCTGGCAGGTGTCGCAGGGTTTCCAAAAACCCTCCGAAACCTCTTGGATCAGGGAGCGGGTCGTATCAAAGGGGCCCATCCTACTGGACCATAGGATGGACCCCTTGGCTCCGTCCCAGGTCAGAGGTACGCGTCTGGGCGGGGGTGCCGTGGCGAGGGAGCGCGGAGAGCGGAGACGCGCGAACACTAACGGCGACGAGAGGTGGGCGGGTCGGGAACATGGCAAGCCAGTCGAACTATAGTTCCCGTCCAGGCCACCTCCGTTCCTTTCCACGACTTACAAGAGCACAAAGCCGAGACGGTCTACCCCTCGGTGCTTAGATAAACATGCGTACCTAAGCTTACACGCGCACGACACCCTGTACCTGCGTCTCTATAAGGAATAAGTCCAGCGAGCGACCTGAGACCCGCAATGAGTCCGTGCGCGGCCGCGTCACCGGGCGTGACGCCCGACGCAGTGTCAGCGTCCACGTACCCTGGCCGTCAGTTGCCGGTGCTTGCTGAAACTGGCCACAATACGACCCACTTCCTTGTCGCAGGTGGCCTGCAGCAACTCAACAGTGGCCATCAGCCAGCCGGGACCTGCGCAAGCGTCAGGTCAAGGTCAGGTCAGCCGAGACCTGTGCGCGGGTAAGGTCACAGTCAGGGCAAGACAGGTCGCCACGCGACAGGTTCTGTGAAGGCGGGGCTTTGAGTGTTCGACCCATGGCGTGGCTTCGCATCATTTTTAGTCACAGGGTTCCACAGACTGATGGCGTATATTTGACTGGATATTTCTACTCTGTAATGTGAAGCCAAACTGCTCGGCTATTAAACTTGTAAAGGAAAAACGTCTTTGTAGGTCATATAGCGTTTCAGCCCCACGGTGCGCGCAATTCTGTCTAATATAGCATTTCAGGTGCTGGAGCAGTACATAGGCTGATGTATGCTGGAAGCATGGTGAACACCATTGTCTGCATTGTTTTCATTGAAATCCAGCACGAGAGAAATCACTAGCCCAAATGGGATAGCTTTAGGCCAGTTCACAAGCGCCTAAGCCGATGTCGGCAGCGCAGCACAAACTTCTAAAAAATTGCGCGTCTCTAGCTCCTACAAACTCTGCACAAAGATACAAGTAAACATACACTGGATCACGGCAGTGGACGTCCCGCGCTCACCATAGAACGTTTCGATGATGGGCTGGTGGATCTCAACGAGACGGGCGATGCCCTCAAACAGCAGTGTGATGGTGTCGGCCCAGATGACGGCCGCTCGTGCGTCACTCGAGCTCGTCCGCTCCGCCTCCTTCAGGTTCTTGGCGGCGGACACCTCCAGCTGTCAACCAATCATGGTGGTGGTCAGAACTTAGTACGCGTATTAGTCGTGCATCTGTGACTTTTCGGCAGGATTTGCACCACGGTAGTCGCCAAGACTGCATCATAAACTCTGCGTTTTCAACCATCGACGCATACAAAACCTGAGACATTATATTCGTGTTACTTTGCACACATCCTGCTGAATGTTCATCTTGTGCATCACGACACTGAGATGGCTTCGGTCAGGCCTTTCCACGTATGCCATGTGATTAAGAAAGGTCAAACACAAAAACATCATACTTGGCTTCTCAGCCTCCTTACCTTACTGCAGAGATACTCAGCGAACTTCTTCACTCCCTCGTCGTGCCGGTTCAGCAGCGGGAAAATCTTGAAAAAGCGCTCGATCGACGCCAGGTCGTCGGCGCGCACCGCCTCGGCGAAGCGCGCCTCGACGGCCGCGTGCAGCTCCGCCTCGGCCCGGTGCAGCAGCGCGAACGCCGAGCTCAAGTTGTCACCGGCCCGGCCGGCCTCCGACAGCCGCACCACCGACTCGTCGATGGCCAGGAAGCGGTGCACGTGCGCGGCCGCCTGCTCGAAGTTCTCAGCCTGGAGCGCCGTCTGCACGCCCTCGGCGCACAGCTTCAGGTCCAGCAGGTCGTTGACGCGCTGCTGCGCGGATGCCACTCGAGTCTGCGGGCACGTGGCGCTCGCAGCTGAGCGGCGGCGCAGCGACCGTCGTCTGATGAAGTCATATCTTTGATTGATTCATGTGAGGATGGGCTTTTGCTGCTTGTTTTCTCCAAAGATGGGATGGATAAAAAGAGCAACATATTGAGGAAGTGAGGCCACGACCAAAAAGCTAGGTAAGCAGGACCACGTCAAGTCACAGTTGAAGGCTGCACCAGCTGAGGCCTAGACAAAAACATACCAGAGTCAGAAGAAACAAACACAGACAAGGGGGACCAGATCTTAGACCAACCTTAGCCCTGTCGAGCTGGCGCACTTTTGCTGACACATTGATGGCCAAGGTGGTGGTGAAGGAGATCATCTTGCTCAGCTGGTCAGCATCAGCATGTACAAACTGTAGGCTGGGTGCCATCTTCTGGAGGCCGGCCATTTTGGCACCCAGGTGGCAGCGCTGCTCAAGCAGCGACTCCATCTCTGATTCCAGGCGCTCCTACAGCAACAGATATAGTTCAGGCAGAGTAGGAGCAGCTCCATCTCCAACTTATGGCAGCAATGAATTGGAGATGCTTGGCAGAGCACATCATTAAGTCTCATGGGGCAAATCAGCAGGAAAAGAGCATTGCTATGTTGGAAATGGTAACTTGCTGCCATGATCCTGGTCTGCTAGAATCTGACCATAATATTCTGTAGAGCCAAGACCAATAACTGGGATACTGAGTGTCTCTGTAGTTAGACCACCCTAAGGCAATCAACATACAACTATATGCATTCTTTTTCTAACACAATGTTCTGGCTCATACTAACCTCATCAACAGATAGTTTTTTGTAGAGTGCCTCAATGTCATCTGTGAAGCACAGCTCTTTAATAGCTGGGTCTATATCAACACTGTTGGCCTGATCAGGTTTCATCTCCGAGTCTTTGTCAGCTTCAGGTGATGGGCTTGATTCTGGATTTGGTGTCTCCATGGCCAAAGGTGGGCAGGAGATGGAAGACACCTATCAGCAAAAAAAGAATAAAGAATAGACAAACAAGCCCTGCACACATTACTGCAAATCACAGTACAAACTGTGCATTCCTAGACCCTATGAGTGAATGCATGCTGCACAGATGCAAGAAAAAATTTAAGTGAGGTGTTTAAGTTATAATAAAGCTTAAGGTTACCTTAACCTACATACTTATTAGTTAAACTATTACATAATGTTAAGATTCACCATCATTAGTTTAATGCTGCTCTTCAGTTCAAGCCCTAACAGATACAATTAGTGATCTGGGTGAACAGCATGCATATTAGGTGTTTGCTTTTTGTGATACATGAGCAAAAGTTACTGGGGCATGTATTTGTTATTACCGCCATTATATTACCACTGCCATTTTCCAGCATGTACTGGTCTCTCTATGCTCTGAACACGTTCTCCCAGACAAAATTTCTTTAGGTGTTCAAGACAAGACAGCTTTTCCTGAGGCCCTGCTTGAGCAGAAATACTCAACAGGCCAATACAACAACTTAGAGAAGTGATGAAAAGACGGGACACACGCCACAACTGAGAAAAGTTGCATTATTTTCATGCATCGCTCGCATTTCCGCAGGCATGCTCAAGGCCCGCAGGCCATAAGGAAGTACCTGAAATAACAAGATAAACAAAAGAGTTTGTGGAGATAAGGAAAATCGACTCGACGAACTATATGTCAAAAAGCGTACGCATAACCCTCACCCAACAACGGCCTCTTATAAGGCCTTGACAAGCGGCGCTCGTCGGAAATGTCACTGCTGCGCTTCTTTCGACTTTTTTCGCCACGTCTGCTTACAAACAATCTCCATTGGGTTTTTGATGCAATATTTGGTGAAAAGGTTGAAAAGCTTGAAAAATATTAAAATATACCCGACGACACAACAGAAGGTGAATTAACCCGCCGGTTTAAATACAAAACTAAATTCAACTGATTGTTTTAACTCGTGGAGTCTTCCTGTACCTGAATTGGCGCATATGAGCTAAAAGCTGTGAAATTCTCAATACCCGTGCGATTGTGCGTGGGCCCTCGTGATGAGATAGCCTATATAGGTAAAGCCTATGGGGTACATTTTATTGAAACCAACTGTCGGAAGGAACCCGATGGATATTTCCTGACTGAATTGTCACGTAGAGTAAACTGCATTCATACCATTCTCTGGCGCCTTTGTGGACACGAGCTTTTGTGCCATAGAAAGAAGCTATCCCTGTTCAGGGGAAAGTGACATTAAATGTGCTTGAGACAAGGTTGATGCATGCGGTATCTATTTAATCCATGCTGTGTAGGTGGGATCATGAGCATTTTGATAGGTAAACAACTGTACAGGGGTGTAGTTTTTCAAAGTTGGTTAGGTTGAGCAATGAAGTGATGAAACCTGCACCCCTAAATATGTCAGCAACTGGGTTTCTCCCTAAATTTGGGCCACTTCTATTCTTAAGTTAGGGAGGGATGTGGGGTCATTCAGCTGAAAAGAAAGCTACACTTATGTAGTTAAAGCCTGAAAGGAAATGAAATTGCAGCATTTCAGCTGAGAGTAATATACTTCATATGTAAGTTAGATGCCTGATTCATGTCAATAGTGATGGACTGATTACTGGTTTTGAGCACAGAAAGACTATTAAGACTATACTGATTGATTGATGATATGCAGAAGGACTATACTGATTACTGGTTTTGGCAGTGGTGCATATTGAGATGATGTGTATGTCATGGCATGATGCACTGCTATTTTTCTCAGCGATGTATTTGATCCCACAACCCACATCCACCAATTCACATCATCGTTCAGATTATTCTACATCTGTCTATGACATGGAAGGGCTGCAGTGTGGAAAACCATCTGATGATCATTTTCACTTAATTTAGCAGCTGCTGTGTAATTTGTGCCAGTGCCCATAGGGCCAAATATTTTCTGAAATGTTTGTTCCCAACATTGTCACCAGGAGGAAGCTCTTTTCTGCCAACCACTGGTAACATGCTTTTCTAGTGATGCAGGGGATCCAGCTTTTGCAAGATGTACTGGGCTATCATACATATACTTCTGTGTCTCCCTCCCTGAATGAAGCAGTGGTTTTTCAATGTAGTTATTCAGGCAATTCATGATAATTTGAGAGAGCCTGTACCAAATGTTTAACAACAAGGTGTTTGGCAGCTGTAGAGCTTCCCTTATTCCAGTGAAATCTTATCAGCTTGATTATTTTAAAAGCCAATAATTTTTTAGCTTATGCATTGCATGCATGTGGTAAGGTAAATGTGTTTTTTGTTTCAGAACCATTTTTATTAACTTGTCTTGAGAGCCATAGCAATCAAGCAACAATGTTGGCCTCAAAAGTATTCAGAGTACTTGTGACTGACTGCAGATCAGCAAAGCAACTTGTCAGACCTCAGGCCCTGGTAAGTATGTTAAGCTGCACATGACACACTGTGTACCTAAGGCAGTAATAAATATGTGTATTTGTATGGAAGTGTGATTTGTATTGCTTTTTATGTGCTGGGTGCTTTTGTGCTTAGTGTTTTGTATTGCCTTTTGCAATAAAAACAACACCTTGTACATTGTCCAGTATGTCCATTACATGGCCTTTTTCACCCCCACCACCTCTGCGCCTAGACACCCCTGATCTGGATCCCGGCCACTGTTTGACAGCTGGTCGGCCGTGTCCACTCCTCACGCCTGTACCACATGCTCCGGACGTCAGAGGCAGGCCCTGGCCGCGCGCCGCGTTGGCCGGCCCACCGCTGGAGGGGGGCGCCCCTCTGGCTGTCAGCCCACTGCCAGAGCACCGACACCGGCGACTACATACCCTCTCCGCCGCGGCCGCCTGGCTCTGACCAGCTGGCCGCCACCCCAGCCCCAGGGTGAGCGTGCCGCCCTGGCGGATGGGCCATCCCCTGCTGTGTGCTATGTCTTGGTCCATCGTGGCTGGGCCAGTTGATTGTGTGTCTGGCAGCCAGTTGATTGTGTATCTGGCGACGCCCACATGCATTGGTATTCCGCTGTTGATGCTTGTCTTATTGTTAGTTCTGCTCAGATTGTTTTTACTGTTACTTGACACAACCTGCCATTGGTTTGTTGGCAGTGAGATCGTCCACTATGGCTGCACTTCTGTGTCAAGATGTAATGTGGTGTTCATACACTTAAAATTGTTTGTGCATCAACCATTGAGCATCTCAGCCATTTGTATCCACTGTCAGTCTGCATTCACTGCGGCCCAGCCTCGCCGCCTGTGACCTGAGCGCTGCCCGGCAGCAGCGCGCCGGCCGACACGGTGGCGGACCTGGTGGAGCCGCTGCAGCAGCTGAACGCGCTCGGCGAGCCGGCGCTGGCCTCGCTCGGCCTGGGAGGCTGGACGCCGCCCGGCCTCTTCCAGCAGTTCTTCGAGATGCTGCATGTCAGCGCCGGCCTGCCGTGGTGGGGCGCCATCGCCGTCGGTGAGGTGCCCGGCGAGCCCAGCGACGGGGCAGGGCAGTTGGCTGTGTGAGAAGATGGGGTGAGGGGTGTTGGCGGTGCCATGGGGTGTGAGACAGCGCGGTGGGGTGTGCGAGGCAGTGGGGTGAGATGCATTGGCGGTAGTACGAGGTGTAAGACGGCGCGGTGGGGTGTGCGAGACGGTGGGGTGAAGGGTGCTGACAGTGGCATTAAGTGTGAGAGGGCGCGGTGGGGTGTGTGAGATAGTGAGGTGAGGTGCATCGACGGTGCCATGGGATGTGAGACAGCGCGATAGGGTGAGATGCGTTAGCGGTAACGTGGGGGTGTGAGACGGCGCGGTGGGATGTGTGACACGCTGCGGGGGGGGGGGGTACGTTGGCAGTGGTATGGGGTGTGTGAGACGGCGCGGTGGGGTGTGTGACACGTTGGGGGGGGGGGGGTTGGCAGTGGTATGGGGTCTGAGACGGCGCGGTTGGGTGTGTGGCACGGTGGGATGGGGTGCGTTGGCGGTGACGTACTGCGAGACGACGCAGTGCAGGGTGTGACACGGCGGGGTGCGGTGCGCTGATGCAGAGATCCTCGTAGGGTGGGTGGAGGAAGACGTGGTGATGACGGGGTTCACGGGTGCTGGCCGGCTCCGTACTGGCGATGAGCCGCTGGCGTGACTGAGAGCTCTGCCGCAGTGGCAGTGGTGGTCAGGGAACGCTTTTGGCGCCGAATCCGGGCGCACCGCAGCCACCTACGCCGGGCTTTCGTTGGATGGATATGTGCCCTATTGTGCCGCTTGCCCCCCCCCCCCCCCCTGACCCGATGACATCCGTCCTCAGGCACGGTGGTCATCCGCTTGTGCGTGTTCCCGCTGGTGGTGCGCTCTCAGAAGAACGCCGTCACCATGAACAACAACCTGCCGCGCATGCAGGCGCTGCAGGTGCGCATGACCGAGGCACGTCAGATGGGCAACGAGATCGAAGGTGAGAGCCGCCGCGGCCAGCCGGGGGGAGGGGGCAGCAGGCTCGGATCCCACGTCAGCAATCGGCGCAGAATCCCTGATCGCCGTCAGTGTTGCTTGGGTTGTGTTGTTGGGCGGTGGTGCGAATCAAGAGGTGGTTGACTGATTTTTCAATGTGCTTTCCTTAGGGCTTTGTGGACATGAGATCGTAGCCAGCTGCAAAATTTGAAACAGTCTAACTAAACAGTTAGTTTAGTCCTGTTTCACCGTATGCCAGATGTGCTTTTATCTAATTCAGATCTGATCACCGCTGATAATGTTGCTCGTCTCCTTCATTAGCGTCGCGCTGGACCAATGAACTGATAAAGTTCATGAAGGAGAAGGACATCAACCCGCTGAAGAGCCTGTTGGTGCCCATGGCGCAGGTGGGTCATCATTCGTCATTCGTGCCGTGCAGTTCGGTCCACTCCATTGTACCAGTATATACTTGCGGCTCGAGCATCGTCATCTACCCACGCATTGTCTTTTCATTTATGTTGGATGAATGAATGATCGCTACTCCTGGACATATCTCTGTTGGACCAACTCCGTCGTGACTGGCGCTCTGAGGGAAGAGGCCATCCGTCATTTCGACACGTCGTCTTCTCACCAACATCGCCAACCTCGCCCTCGCTCGCAGATTCCCATCTTCGTGTCAGTGTTCTTCGGCTTGCGCAAGATGGCGAACCTGCCGCTGATGTCGATGAAGGACGGCGGCATGCTGTGGTTCACGGACCTGACCGTGCCGGACCCGTACTACCTGCTGCCGGCCGTGACCGCGCTCACCCTCCTGGCCACGATAGAGGTCGGCGGCTGTGACCTCGCCCGGCCGCCCCGCGTTAAGCACGGCTCTCCGGGCGTGGAACGCGCGGAGAATTTCAATGCGTTTTTGCGACGTGTACGGTTGTATGAAACAACAATTATTTGTCTTGTTCCCTTGTCGTCAATCTTGTATAGCGTGCGCGCCACGGGAGGAGCGATCTCGCCCGTTGTCCGCCGGGTGGTTGTGACTCGGAGCCGTCGTCGTCGGCGCGTGCTGGGCAGCGGCCGTAACGCGCCCTCTGGCCGCAGATCGGCGCGGACGGCGCCAGGCTGCCGACCTCACCGAACGCCCACCTTGTCAAGTACTTCCTGCGCGCCATGCCGTTCGTCGTCTTCCCGCTGACGATCAACTTCCCGGCAGTGAGTGGACGGGGAGGGGGATGGTGGGTGGTGGCCCGCCCTCTCCCCGGCGGTGAGTGGACGGGGAGGGGGGATGGTGGGTGGTGGCCCGCCCCCTTCCCGGCGGTGAGTGGACGGGGAGGGGGGATGGTGGGTGGTGGCCCGCCCTCTTCCTGGCGGTGAGTGGACGGGGAGGGGGATGGTGGGTGGTGGCCCGCCCTCTTCCCGGTGGTGTGTGGACGGAGAGGGGAATGGTGGGTGGTGGCCCGCCCCCTTCCCGGCGGTCAGCAGACGGGGAGGGGGGGGGGGGAAATGGTGGGTGGTGGCCCGCCCCCTTCCCGGTGGTGAGTGGACGGAGAGGGGAATGGTGGGTGGTGGCCCGCCCCCTTCCCGGCGGTCAGCAGACGGGGAGGGGGGGGGGGGGAGAAATGGTGGGTGGTGGCCCGCCCCCTTCCCGGTGGTGAGTGGACGGAGAGGGGAATGGTGGGTGGTGGCCCGCCCCCTTCCCGGCGGTCAGCAGACGGGGAGGGGGGGGGGAATGGTGGGCGGTGGCCCGCCCCCTTCCCGGCGGTGAGTGGACGGAGAGGGGGATGGTGGGTGGTGGCCCGCCCTCTTCCCGGTGGTGAGCAGACGGGGAGGGGGATAGCACGAAGTGGCCGACGGTGAGCAGACGGGGAGGGAGAGAGGAGGGGGATGACGGGTGATGGTCCGCCCTCAAATGGTGAAACTTGCGAAATAGTTGTCTCACTGAGTTCACGGCACGAATGGGACTGGACCGATAAAGAAATGAATTGTGAGGTGTAAAGGTCTATATCGTAATTATTGAGGAGCTATATGGCCCTCTGTACCAAAATAGTCGTGCATTGTAAGGGTGTTACAGGGTAGTAATATATATATATATATATATATATATATATATATATATATTCATAAGGGCATTGTGGGATTATTGTAAGTATTATACGAGTTGTGTGAAAACGGATGTTTTTGGCCAAGTTACGGTGCATGATGACCCGGTGGTGTCAGGCTTCTACGGTCAGCGATGTGTGGCCAGGCCGGGAATTGGGGGACAATCCAAGCCAGCAGTTGCATGACAAAGAGAAGAAAACCTGACGGTTGACTGTCTGTTGAGCTTGCTTTGTCGAAGTTAGTGTGTATTTAGCTTCAAGAGTGCTTAATTTGAATTCATTGATCGACTGTTACAAAATGCTTCTGCCTTTGGAATTGAAGGGTTTGATTTGAGCCAGTTGTGCAACTGGTACACAATGTTTCATTGTTGTTTGTACAGGCTATCCTCTGCTAATGGGTGAGCTCCAATTTCATGACGTTACACAATGTTTCATCGTTGTTTGTACAGGCTATCCTGTGCTATTGGGTGTGCTCCAATTTCGTGGCGTTGGGACAAGTGATCTTCCTGAAGATTCCCGTTGTGCGGACGTACTTCAACATCCCAGCCAAGATCGTGCACGACCAGAGCAAGCTGCCGATACAGAAGAAGCCCTTTGTGCAGGGCGTGAAAGAAAGTAAGTCATTGGCAGGACAGGGGACGCCGCGGCCCGTACGATTAATCCCCTATATAGGGCGGCAGAACAGCAGTATGGTTGTGACGGCCGGTGCACGTCCGCACGCTCGTTTATCAGCCATTCGGTCGTGCGCGGCATGACATTCGGCGTCCTGGCTCGTCGCAGCCTGTCCCAGCCAGCGTCTTCTTCCCGCGGCTAACGCGCTCTGCCGCGCCGCAGGCTGGAGCAACATGAAGATCAGCAAGAGCCTGGAGGATCGGCAACGTTACGACGAGATGCGGTTCAAGAAGGCCGGCCTCGGCGCCGTCACAAAGACTTACAAGTACGACCCGACGCGGCAGACGGCCGACGGCCGGCCGCCCGGCAAGGGGCGGCCCCCGTCCGCCTAGTCCCCCGTTCTGTCTAGTCGCCGCGCGTTCTAGTCGCGGCCAGCGGCCCCATTGTGACGTCACGCGCAGGGGGACGACGCCCGGCCGGCGGCGAACGCTTCCGCGCGCGAGGCCGGCCGGCGCGCCGGTCGGTCTCGCCTCTCACGCCGCGCTCAGCCGATGTGGCGAATACAAGCCTCAGCTGGCGGGACGATTGACTGCTCTTTGTGCCGACCGACGCAGTTGACGCCGACGCCGCTGACGACGGCAGCGGCCTCCAGGGACACGCCGCCGATTCGTGGTCATGTATTTCATCGGTTCATAGTTGAATTATTATTTACAAACAGTCACACGTACGCCGACGTAAGCGTCGGCAGGCGGCCAGGCACCGGCGACTCGTCCTGAACGTTTCGGCCTCGCCTGCCTCCGGGCCACCGCACGGAACACGCGGGCGTGAACACCACGCCCCAACACCACACCCCGGTCCGGCGGGTCGCGCACCGCCCAACAAGGGTAAAATAGAGGTGGATCACAGTACAACTGACTAACGGTATCGGCATAATCTAGACCCCGTATTTGTAGAAACGAGCTAGCCGCGCGCGTACGTGGTGGTGACGCGCGCGTTCGCGGCGGCGGGGCGCGGAATGTGGGCCGACGGGTGGCGCGCCGACCGCCGCCAGGCGGCGCGGCGGCCGGCGCGTCACTCCTGGCCGAATCCCTCCGTCTCCTCGATGGCAAAGGTGAGCTTCTCCACGAACTGCTCGTAGGTCTTGTAGGGCGGCAGGTCGAGCCGGTTGAAGCAGGTGTGCGAGCGCGGCAGCCACGTCTCCTTGCCAACCTTCTCGATGCAGAAGCGCTGAGGCCCGTTGCTGCCTGCGGGCAGCGGCGGCGCGGGGGCGGGGGCAGGTCATAAAGGGACGCAGCACGGCGGTGCGTGACGAGATGTCAACACTCCCGTCACCAGCACGCGCTGCATCGTCCGAGTACTGCGCGTCAAGACGGAAAGATCCCCATCACAGCGGCAAAACACGCGGCGTGGTCATAGGGATGTCGACCGGGCGCAGTTTTCTCGTGGGGCTCGACGTCCTCCAGAGTCCTTTGCACGAAGACAAGCTGATTCTGTTGTCTCTTCAGAACCACTGGCGTCATTTCAGATCGAGAGTGCCCGGAACCAGCGAAGAGAACGAGACAAACTAGTCAGTACACTAGAAAAGCAAACAGATTGACCCCCGCACCGTCACTTCCGGATGCATCTGAAGCGCCCAGGCTCCCTGCCGCCATATCCGTGCCCCGGGGCGCCGGACTAAGCCTGCCCATCCGATCCGCGCCCCGCTCACCCATGAGCTCGGCGAAGCCTCCGACGGGCACGCGGCAGGTGCCGGTGACAAACTGCAGCAGGCGGGCGCGCCGCTCGTTGTCGCTCTCCTTGACGAACTGCCAGAACCACTGCACCTGCTTGCTGTTGCGCGTGTAGTGCCGGTAGATGGTGTTGCGCTGCCAGTCCTGGTGGCGGCACCACGGCGGCGCCGGTCAGCGACGGCGTGCACACTCGCTGTGCGTGTCATTGGGGCTTTACGACGCACTCGGCTGCTGAGGCTATATGGCGTCGCCTGCCTCTCACATTGGCAAGAAAGGGGCGGACACCGCGGGGAATCGAACCCCGTAACTCTGGTCTCACACATGTGCAGTGGTTAACGCAGACGCGTTGACCTTTACTCTACCGGCATCCCTGCTCGTTACAGTGTAGGTGGCTGTACATAGAATGTATTTCCAACATATATATATATATATATATATATATTATATATATATATATATATATACGGGCCGGGTTCGGCTACACGTATTGGCATGGATAAAGTCGATTGGGATTTTCTTCTCTGCTTGTCAGGTAATGCATTCGTGCTTCTTCCACATGGTAGGATGTATGGGCGATGTCACCGCTGGGTACGGTGGGGTCCATCCAGACCTAGTAACTTTTGGGCACTCTGCTTTTGACGATTTAGGTCATACACACTGACAACAAAATGGAAGTGGGCCGCGGCAACATTTCAGGAGTGGTTACGCTCCTGCCTGGACGGAGGCAAGGCATGAACCAGAACAGCCGACGAGCGTCACAGGCCAGAGCGCAACCCCGATCCGTCTCATCCCAATCATCACACGATCCCCGCCTTATCTCTCGCCGCATGCATTGACCTCTGCGCCATAACCTCTCGCGTCAGTTATCGCCATACGATCCGGCGAAAAAAAAATTGCGTCCCGCGTGAGACTCGAACCGGGCTCTCCGAGCTCGCCGTCCTCACCTGGACGTCGATCTCCTGCATGCCGCAGAGCATGAGCTCCAGCTCACGCTCGTCGAAGTACTGCAGCCACTCGAGCGGCACCACCTCGTTGAAGCCGTCCAAGAACGAGCGCGTCTGCTCCTCAATCCCTCGCGTCATGCGCCACGAGGTCACCAGTCTGTCGGGCGGGAGGGCCTGGGTGAGAGGGCGTAAGGTACCCGGAGGGGCCGGAGGTCAGGGAAGGGTTCAGGGTACGCACCACGCGCGATGTGCGCTATCCTGGTAATGTCACGACCTGACCCGACCTGACCCCACACGGGTAGCAATGTCCGGATGCCAGTACATAGGTGTTTGTAAGCGTTTTTGTCAACCAACAGAAGCACACACAACACAATTGCTAGGCGGCCGTATCCCCGTCAACACATCTCATCCGAACAAATATGAGACTAATGACTGTTGACCAGCACCCGGCGGGGCCGGAGGTTAGGGAGGAGTTCAGGGTACGCACCACGTGCGATGTGCGCTATCCTGGTAGTGTCACGACCTGACCCGATCTGACCCCGCACAGGTATCAGTGTTCGGATGCCAGCACATACGCGTCCGCGAGCATTTTTGACGACCGACAGAAGCACACACAAAACCATTGCTAGACAGTCGTATCCCGTCAACACATCTCACTTGAACAAATCTAAGACAAGTGATTGTCGATTAGAAAAACCAAGCAGTCGTCGTAAGTGGCCCAGCGTACTTGGCACGGCGTGGCGGCAGCCACAGCCGCCACCTTTGACACGATACCCACTTGATGTACTCCTCCTTGTTCTCCTCGGTGACCAGGATGTCGTCGCCGCCCTCCTTCAGCTCGTGGTGCATGATCTTGCCTAACTTCTCCCAGTCCACAGAGAAGTACATCTCCATACCTGGCGGCGGCCGGGCAAGGGTTACGGCCCAGGCTGGAGCCAACCGACAACGCAACAGACAAATCAGCCAGTACTGCCCGTCGCAGCCTTTTTCGGGGTAACGCGACGCTGGTGGTCACGTCCCTTTCATGGAGGGCCCGTGGCCGCATTGAGCATATAAGCGCCCAGGAGCCAAGGTGCAACCTGGATTCGAACCCAAGCTCCCCACGTGGCAGTCCACGGCGCTAGCCAGTGCGCCGTTACGTCCCAGACACAAATACTCCACACTTTACCAGCAGCCGACGGTGGCTGATATAAATAAGTCAAGGACGTGCTGCCCGTGTTGCCAAGCATGGAGCAAGTGAGACACTGACCTTTCACTAATCGCATAACTAGTCACGGTATGCGAGAACTTTCGAGGCATTCGGTGCTTATTCTCCACATTCTGAGTTACCAAGAAGTCCGCCAGTTGGCAACTAAGAACCTAACTTCGTAGCCGGATACCATAGCTGACAGTAAATACCGCAGCCGGGAGCTGATGCCACACATCAGCTGGTGGTCAAGCCCTTCGGCATGTGACCCGTCGCTACACCCAGCACCGCGCAACCGACGTTAATGCGACGAAGCAGCACTTACCACCACCAGGGCACAACGCGGACGCGCTTCCACAATGTTTCTCTCGCTGCACCAGATTTTCCCCGCTATCGGACGCACACCTGGCCCAGTTTGGCAGCTGTGTTACTATTGCCCCGAAAGTGCACGACTTGCCCGGTCGGTCGCTCGGGCGGCGAGCGCTCCACTTGACCGGCCGGTCGCTCGGGCGGCGAGCGCTCCACTTGACCGGCCGGTCGCTCGGGCGGCGAGCGCTCCACCTGACCGGCCGGTCGCTCGGGCGGCGAGCGCTCCACCTGACCGGCCGGTCGCTCGGGCGGCGAGCGCTCCACTTGACCGGCCGGTCGCTCGGACGGCGAGCGCTCCACCTGACCGGCCGGTCGCTCGGGTGGCGAGCGCTCCACTCACCGCACTCCTCAATGTTGTTGTCGCGCACCCACACGAGAGAGCCGTAGTACTCGGGGTCCACCGACTCAATGTCTTTGGTCGTCAGCTTCTTGTTCAGCATGCGCTTGTAGAAGGGCATGGTGAAGCCGCGGTAGATGAACTTGCCGTGGTACAGCGCCTGCAGCACGTCAACAGCGGTTAGGTCATCCACCCGGATACTCACACGCCACAGCTAATCGGCGTCCAGCCGCGGCCAGCACGCGGGGAGCTCAACTGGAAATGACTGCTTCTGCTTATGAGTGTGGTTCAGATCTGCACGCTGAGAACACACATCTGCATGTCACATGAGGAGCGAAAAATGAATTTGTGAAGCACTCCTCGACGACATGTTCCATCCCAGTGCACCGGCCAAGCGCGTGTACCAGCGACGGTAACACCCAGACACCGGCACCGTCTGGGGACAGCTCGAGGCGCGTTCTCAGCCGACCTCCGCCACCCGCGGCCTGTGGACCGACAGCCGTCATGCCGTCACCCGACCGCAGCCGGTGCCGTCCGCGCCTCACCATGGCGATGAAGCGGCCGATAAACTTGAAGTACATCAGGTGGTCGGGGTTGATCTCCGACGCCGGGTTGATCTCCAGACTGTAGTTATTCTTGTTGGCGTACTCAAACATGCCGTACATCGGGTTCAGAAGCTCGTGAGACAGCATGAAAAACCATTCCCTGCCGAGGGTCGCGGCGTCAGCGCCACCCGTGGTGTCGGTCCTGTACCACGTGACATGACCGGCGTGTGCCCAGCGCGCTGCTGCAGCCAGTGCATGTCCATTCTAACGCGCACGCGCGCCAAACGCCGGCCTTCTCCCCGTACAGAACGGCTCCTCGTCACGACAGTGCCGACATGATGGAGTCCCGAACAATCAAACTCGCATGACTATCAGCCCCCACTGTCCCTTTAGCAAGTGCAAATGCGATAACACAGGAGCATCTGCACCGCCGCGCCCACTCAAGGGGCTGGCCCCCACAGAAGCCTTCATAATTTAGTTCTTCCTCAAATGAGCAAGTCCCTCTGGTGTCAACCCCAGGCTTTTCAACGCCAACACATCCCAAACAGCTGAAACGTTATCACTTTTGTCCGTCGCCTTTGGCCGCCACGTTATAAACTAAAACACTGTCACTTACATAGGGCCACTACGGCGTGCTCGCCTACCACAACATTCATGTTAAGGCCAAAACTACTTAGTGAAAAAGCGACTTCAAGAGAAAACTCCTGGCGAAAAGGGAGATGCCAGTTGATGAGGATAGTATGCTGAAACTTTCTATGCACTCGACCCAGAATCCCGCAGCTTTACTCATCTAAGATAACTCGGTAGGTCCTTAGGTGTCATCAACCGACCACACTGCCGTATTTACACACCACCAATAAAGCACAAAATACTAGCTAAACAGCACCAGCCCGCGCTGACCGCCACCGCCATCGCAGCTGCCCCTGCACAGTGCGTGACAGCGGGAGCGAGTGCCGGGCGCCCGGTAAGTCCCCGAACTCACCGCGCCACACCGCCGTAGTCGAGTCCCTCCTCGCCGCGGAAGATGATGTAGAGCTTGCGGCGCAGCTCGTAGGCCGGCAGCCGCATGATCTGGTGGAAGCTCTCGTCGAACAGGGTCTGGCGCGACACCGACACCTTGATGTGGCTGGGCAGCGCGTTCGACGAGCAGAGGTAGCGAAACTGGCCGAGCTTCCAGCGGAACGAGCGCTCGTACGCGATCGGTACGCCGTAGGCGCCGACCGGCCTGCAGTGGGGGGGGGGGGGGGGGGTCAGAGTCGGCGTCTGCTGGAGACAGGTCAGCATGCGAGAATGGGGCGGCCGGAGGGGCCACGCCGGGGACGCCACTGGAGGCGAGAACGTCGGCGTGTGGGCACGTGGCGGCCAGCATTCGGGTATGGCAAAGCCGGTTCAGTCATAGACCTCAGCTGCCACAACTGACAGATATGGCAAGTGTCTACTCGACGGTATCATGTGGTCAATGTCGTACAAAACATCCAACGGTGTCTCACTGAGCTTTCGCACAACCCTCGCTGTCTTGTGAGAGACTCGTGAACGGCTAGTAATGCTGATGCAGAACCATCCAGCAGAGCTCACAACGTCGTTCACAAAGATCCGTTTCCGGGTTACTTTCGTGGGTGGAGAGTCGACTTAGCCTACACCGCGGCCCGCCAGCAGCTGCGGCCAACGCTCACCCCTTGGCGGCACCGGGCCGCGGGTCGTCGAACGTCGTTGTGCGCGTGTTGTGGTCGACGAAGTAGCGCATGTTGTCCTTGGTGTAGCGCATCTCCCAGCCCGGCAGCAGCGGCTCCTCCTGGATCACCTTGCTGCAGGTGGCGGGCGGGCGGCGCAGGTCAGCGGCGGCGAGTCATCTCTTAGCATGTTACGATTAGAGCGATTTCATTCGACATAGGGAAGACCTGAAGTTTCTGGTTTCTCGGCATAGGGTTCAGAGTTGGTATGCTGAGTTATCAGTCTTCAACATGCCATGAAGTACTGGAGGTATCGCAGAAGGTACGGTACCGCTGGTATACTGGTGTCTCCCCATCTCCGGCGCCCATCACACCCCACTGAGGTCTAAACCACGCATCTCCAGCCATGCAGCGGCGCTCCTCCCCACCGGCCCTCCCACAGTCAGCCTGCGCGGCGCACGCACCCCTGTGTGCGCGGATCCTCCCACTGCGTGGTGCGGTTCTTGTGGTTGACGTAGTACACGCGGCCGTTGGGCTCGATGCGCTTCTCCCAGCCGTCGGGCAGTGAGCCGAGCGGATCCTCGTCGGCGGGCGGCGCGCCGTTGGTGGCCGCTCCGCCCGCCATCGGGTACAGGAAGCGCATGTTGCTCTGCTTCATCACCTGCGACCGCTCGCCCTGCCACTCCTGGTAGTTGCTGTGGACGGCGGGAGGCGGTGAGAGGGCGCGAGGCGCGCGCTGGTCACTGTGGAGGGTGGAGGGTGGAGGGGTAGGGGGGGGTAGGTAAGGTAGTTTGCGCTTGGTAAGGTCTGACAGACGGATCACGCATTCATTGTGGTGAAAACAATTGGCAAGCGTTGCTCCCTGCTCATTCAATCCACTACCGTAGAGGTTGTCACACCCACCGGCCTGTGATGATGATGATGTTGATAACGCTTGCTGACAAAGTCCGGCAAGCGTTACTGCCTCCTCATTCAACCCACTTTCACAGAATGTCATGACCACCGGCCTGTACACAAGCCCGTTACTCCCCCCCCCCCCCCCCCCCCCGATCCAAACGGCCCCGATGCCGCCACTCGTCCCGTCCCCGGCCATGCCAGCCCCGGCGCCCACTGACCGCAGGCTCTCGACAGTGGGCCGCTGCCAGGTGGTGGTGCGCGTGTTGTGGTCGACGTAGTAGACGCGCCCGCGCGGGTCGCGCCTCATCTCCCAGCCGGGCGGCAGCGGCTTGGGGCGCTCCCACGTGGTGCTGCGGGTCGTGTGGTCCACGTAGTAGCGTCGGCCCAGCGAGTCGATCCGCACCTCCCATCTGCGGGCCGCCAAAGCGGGAAGGGGGAGGGTCAGTCGGGACATCGTGGTGCGCGTGTGCCACACACGTGGAGACGGCGCACGTATTGCACGCTGGCGCGACGGACGTGGCGTACGAGCCACGTGCACAAAATCACGTCGTTGCCGAGTGACCGTGCAGTGCGAGGACGGTCTTACGTCATGGGCAGCAATTTACCTTACGGCAATGTCAACGCACACGTTTATCGGCTTATCGCGCACCAGCTGTCCGAACCGCAACGTGTAAATCGGGGCACAACATAAGAATGCGCCCCCGACACTGCGTGCCGATACCGTGGGACGTGCCGGTGCGATAAGCCAGTGACGGTACTGCCTCCGATAGGGCCGTGTGACCGAGACCGGCGGCGCCCGACGTACCCGGGCGGCAGCGGGTCCTCCTCCTGCGCCGGCGGCCGACCGTTGGCTGGCCGGCCGCTCGCCTTCGCCGCTCGTCCTGACGTCGAGGACGAGCCGGACGAGGACGAGGCGGTGGCCGGGGCGGCCGGAGCGGCGGCGGGAGCGGTGGCGGCAGCGGCTGCGGCTGGAGCGGTGGCGGCGACGGCGGCCGGGACGGGGGCGGAGGCGCCGCTGGCCGCCGGCAGCGCCGTAGCCTGCCCGCCGCCGCCGCTGCCGGAGGAGGCCGTCGACGGCGGCGTACTTGTTCCTGCGGCAGACAACACAGCCGGGTCAAAACCAACGCCGGAGTGGGAATGGGCGGGCCGGGAAGAGCCGCGTGACTGGCCGCTGTCCGCCGGTCGGCTGTCGCAGGAGCTGAGGGCCCGGCAAACAGGCCAAGGAGACAAAACAACAGGGTGACCGCTGGGCGCTCCGTAGTCAATTTCAGAGCCCGGGGGCTGCAGCCACCAGGGTGACCGCTAGGCGCCCCGTAGTCAATTTCAGAGCCCGGGGGCTGCAGCCACCACAACCAGCAAGTGCCACTTCTCCGCCAGTATAACTCAACGGGCTAACATGACACCGCGCTCAGAACACTGTGCATGAACATACATTCACAGCGAGCTTTAAATGACCCACAAGCCGCTGGACTTTCGACAGCGAACCGAGCAGTCCGTCCGTAGGGTGACGGACAGCTGCCGACCACGGACGCGCGATGCCACCAAGGCCGCCAGGCCACCCAGGGTCCCGTGCGATGCGCCGGTGCGCCAGGAGAGCCGGCCGCCGCCGTCACCGCGTTGCCGCGCGCAAACAGGCCGCGCGCGCGCGCGCGCGGGCCTGTTTGCGTGCGGCGCCCGACGGGCCGTGACGGGGCGTCACTATCGACCGGGCGTGATCGGCCACGCTGGGCCGGACCGCCGTCGGCTGGCCGACGGGCGGGCGGACGCTCAGCTGGCCAGCCGCGGCCAGGTGGCCGGACGGGGACACACACTCCTCGCTCATCCGGCGAGGAGGACCGGGCGTCGATGGATGTCCGCGCACGGACGGCAGTGCCACGCCAGGGGACAGTTGGGTGCTCTTGGACATGCTGTGATGTAGACAAATTTACCATCCATAATCAGATCAACGTGAGACGTTCCATACGTGCAATTTCCCTGTGGTAGAATGGGAAGCGGGGTGTAGGTCTGCCGTCCCCCGATCGGGCCGATTTTCCCCGGCCAGTGACGTACGCCACGCCCTAAAACGGCCAGCCTGTTCACCTCGATCGGTATCCGTCACCGAACCTCCTCGGATATCAGCTCAACGACACGGGCTATCGGTCGATCGCCGACGTCACAGGTGATGACTTAGCAGGACAGCACGCTGACGTCACAGGCCGGCGGTCTTCGACCGACTATGTCGGGGCTAATGACATCCGCGACCGTCCCCGACAACCGATCGGCAACCCAGCCGTTTGCAGTTTGGTCCGGTAAGTGGCAATCCCGGGGCATCCCAGAAAGCATGCCGCAACCCAGCTGCGGCACCAGCTACACCCGGCGGCACTGATAGCCGGCGCCGCACGCGCTGGCACAGGCGGGAGCCAGACGGCTTGGCGGCCATCCGATGCCAGGACGGCTGACCAAAGTAAGCCTGGTGGCACCGGGCCAACCGCAACATCGCCGGCTTCACCGAGCCAGGGTCGGAACCAAGGTCACGGGCGTCGGCCGGTGCATTGCGAGCACCGCACTGGCTGCCCAGGCGCGGTCGGCCGGGCGGCCACGCGATAAGAGGCGCACTGGGGGAAGTACTAGCGAACCGACTCTCCGCCGCTGACACACGAAAAGGCAGCAGAAGCATGTCCGACCTTCGAGCCGAAAGCCACGCTACTCGGGCAGAAGACGCGGCTTCAATTCCTCGATGAGCGTGATTCACCACGCCGGCCGTGCCCGCGTCAGCCGAGCACGGCTAGGCAAATGCTCACAGGCCGCCATCGAACACGGCCTTGGCTGCGTCACTGGACGACGTACCGAGCTCGCCGGGCCAGCCCTGCCCCCGCGCGATGGCAGGCGCCGCGAGCCGGGCGGAGGCACGCAGCGGCGGCCAGGGATGGCCCCAGAGCCCCAGGGACGGCGGAGACCGTCAGGGACCGACCGGTACGAGGGACGTCCGGGCCCCGTCCCCGCGCGCAGGGAGGAAGGGCAAAGCTACGGACCGACACCTGGTGCTGACAAGGTAGGCGTCCAAAGAGCGAGCGTTTGACCGGAAACCATCTCCACGGAGCCAGACCCCCAGCCTGGTGCGTGCACAAATGCGTGCACGGCGTGTGCAAGCACGGCGTGGTGTTCAGGCCTTTCAAGAGACACAAACGCCCTCCGCGGGCCGGTCGGTGCTGGCACGCGGTGCGTGGAACGGTCAGGCGGCGGTGGGCGGGGCGTGAGGCGGCACAAAACAAGGGCGCATGCGCGGCTGTTACCTATGGGAGGCAGCACAAGCCAGGCGGGCGGCGGCGCTCCGTCGGCGGCGGCGGCGCGCGCCGGACCCGCCAGCGCCGTGATCGGCGGCAGCACCACCTCCTCTGTCGACACAGCGGCCGCGCTCAGCGGTCCTGCCCGGCCTGGCCCGGTCTAGCTCGGCTTGGGCCTCTTCGACGTCAGAAGAGGCCCGGCTCCCTCCTCGGTGTCGGAGGAGGCCCGACCCAGACCGGACGGGCTCGGCTCGGGCCTCCTCCTCGGCGTCAGAGGATATCCGCCCGCCAAGGGACGGCGCACGTATTGTGTTGGGTGACTTCGGTGAATTAGCATGCCAGAGCTCTGCGACTGGAGAGCGGTGGGGGGGGGGGGGGGGGGGGGTCCGCGGGGATACACGTCATGGGCTGAGCCCGTTTCGTAAACCGAGACCGAACTCCCGAAGGCATTTCTACTCGACGACGAGACCATGTCCGGATGGCAGATCTCAGAGCTCCGGTAACTTGTATCGCGCTAAGCTCCACTGCCGCACGTATGTCCGCTGCTGCTGTGAGGCCATGTCCGGGATAATTAAGGACCAGTTGTGAAAATCCAATACGCATCTATTGGCATTCAATGACACCGTTTTGGCACTACAATCAAAAGTAATTATGTCACGCGAAGTGCAGACAATCGCCTGGCCAGGTGTTCGGCCGCCGGAGGAATTTCCGCCTAATTAGCCAGCTGATATCACCGGCTTGTTTGCTGGCTTCTATCCGCTGATTCCGCTCACAATTCCGGAAAAAGAAATGTTTCGCATTTGAAGATGTTGCAGCAAGCATCACATATGATGAAATATGCTCACATAAAACTGTTGAAATATTATTTAGCTAAAAAGACCGCTCTAGACAACATAACTTCTTCATTTAGCAACTATGCTCCTTAATACGTCATTGCCTGACTGCGTCATGGAAAGTTTGTATGACGTTGAGGTGCTGCCAAACTAGCCTTGCGAAATTGCTACCTTTGCACTCACTTGCAATGCTTAAAATTCGCCGAGAGATGGCAGCGCGATGCTGGAAGTGCTCGGTAAGCCAACTATTGTGATGTGCTCGTGTTTTTGGTCTTTTTTCGTGATGTTCTCGCGGTTGTTATAGGGTCTTGTTCTCGCGTACTGGTCCATGAGTTTGTCCTTCGATTACATGTTGCATTACAGTAATGATAAACAATTATATCCAAGTTCTTATATTACCTAGTATACAACGTGATTCATTAAAGAAAGCTAGCTCTACACTGATCGAGAGCCGATTGACATCCGATATACCCGGGAATCATGCTCGCGAACGCCAGCATTCCAGCGGCTCGGCGATAATATTCTTCCTGGCCTTGAACGCCGCATGGTCACTGGCATAGCGGGCTTTGGATGGTGTTGCTATGACGACATGCATGTCTGTATGGCCTTGAAATAGTCTGCACGGAAAAGTCTGTACATCTTCGCGGGAGTGTAACTGATAAACTAAAGGAGTTTTGAATCTTAGAAGGGCAGACCTGTGCACCGCACCGAGCGATCTTCAAAATGTCTACTCCATTTCAAAACCCCATAAAAACGTGGAACACTCCCTCCCAGTGGCCTTCGGCGTCACGCAACACGAGCTAGCGAGTGGTCTACAGCCCCCTCCCCTTCCCCGCGGACAGCCCACCTGTGTCGGAGCGGGGCGCGGCAGCGGCGGCGGCGGAGCGGCGGCCCTGCGGCGGCGGCTCGTCCGGCGGCAGCGAGCGGGGCCGCGGCGGCTCCGGCCGGTGGTTCTCCAGCACCATCGAGAGGCGGCCGTTGGGCGTGTCTGCGGGCACGGCGCCGCGTCAGAGTCGGTGCCGCGCCCCGCGGCCGGCCCTCACAGCGGCGCAGGGCGCAGGCAGGCTGCCCTGACCGGCCTGTGCCATCTGGTCAGAGTGTCGGTCCCTTTGCTGGACTGTCCTGCCCGTCGGGTCAGGGTGGGCTGGAGTCGGACGGGGCACACGTATCTGAGCTGTCTGCCCCTCCGGGCGAGTCAGACACGGACTGGACTGGACTGGACCGCTTTGAAATGAGCTGCAAGGCGGCTTTGAGCTTTGAGCTGCAAGGCGGACTGGACCGGTCCGGACCGGACGGCGGACGAGACTGGACTGCGGGACCGAACGGACTGGAGTGAGGAACCGAACGGACTGGACTGCGGACCGGACCGGATGGCGAACGAGACTGGACTGCAGACCGGACTGGATTGTCATGTCTGGACAGACAGTCTCCGTCCCTGTACTGAACTGTTCGTGGCCGATGGATCAGGACGCACCCGGCCCAGATCCGATATAGGCGTCCACATAGCCAAGCACGGTCGGCTCGTCGCGATCTCCCACCACTGCGACTGCCCCGGGCAGCCCCGTGGCTGCGAGACAACAACAGCCCGGTACATCACGGGGGGACGGCCGTAGCCCGGGTAATCAGAGCCCGTCAGCGATGACATAATCCCGGCCACGGACGCCCGCTGTAATCCCAGACCCGGTGATCAGCATGCAGCGCGCGGGGAGGCGAGGCGCTGCCCTGCAGCAGCTGGGGCCGGCCGCGTCCACGGCGCGTACCCAGCGCCCTCCGGCACCATCCGGCCAGCAGACCGTCAGAGCGTCGAGAACGCTCGGGGCGCGGGCCGTCAACAGGCACTCGCGGGACCTGCGACTACAGCCCTCAACGACGGCGCGGTGCGACCCGCTGGCAGAACGGGCCAGGTCACCGCAAACGACGCTCGGCCCGGGAGCCTTTGTATCGGCGAAGGTGGGACCGGGGCTACCTCAGTAACTAGGCCACTTACTCGAAGGAACGTCTGGTGGCATGAGATGTAGTATCTTTCATCTGTGGAGAAACGTTTGGACAGGCCTTTTCCTTACACAGACCAACACGCTACCGTGATGAATAGCAGCGGCGTGAACGACACTGCAGCACCGTCCTCAGCATTCAGCCCTGAGCAAAGTATGATTTCTATTTTCCTGCCGTGCATCTGATTTTCTGAACAGCGCGTTGATCATATTGTTCCCCACTATGAGACCTCAGTTCAATAAATTGCCAAAACTCCTCCACCGGCTTAATCAAGCTCAACTATCCATTCTCAGGACATCCGCTGCACTTATACGTCGCCGGCGAAGCGGTAACGTGATCTGACAGGCATGTGTCAAGCCGGACCATTTGCATGCAAGACTTCTCAGCTGCAGAGCCCACCCAGCGTCCTCGCTACGCTACTTGTGCTGCAGAAGTCTGGCGGAGCCGAGCTCACCGCGCGAATGAACGCTCTGCGACGTTTGGGGACCCGCCCCTGATGCAACGGCTGTCTATCCAGACGGCGACAAACTACCACAAGTACCCTCTACAATGGTGACATCACCTACAGTGGATAAAACTTCAGATAGACGGCGTGGTGAAACGCCACGTCCGTGTGTTATCGTAACTGGGCTGGTGGAACATGCGCTACAGTCACACGCGCGCGCATCTGCCCCATTCCCCACCTGAGGCCAGTCTCATAAGGCAAAACTACCGCTCCCGCGACATTCAGACTGGACACTGCCAGGATGTCGGCGGGGAATGGTTCGAGTTTTCGTGGGATTTTGACTCTTAGCTAACCGCTAAATAGGAAGAGGCAGTAACACTGAGAGTGGCCAGTCCATCCAAACAGTCTACACACACTAGTGTATGCTGCAATTTCGCTTTACGTCCCGTCTGCGTGCTCACCTCCACGGTCGTGATGGCTGGAGCGCTGGCTGCCGGAGGGCCGCAGCAGGGGCGTCAGCGTGTCGGCGGGCTCGCGGCGGCTGGGGAGCAGCTCGCGGCGCACTGTCATGCCAGACAGCAGCACCGACAGCTCGGCCAGGCAGGCCGCCTCCGCAGACTTGCCCGGCGCCACCAGCCGCACGTGAACCTGCGGAAGTGACGGCGGCAGACACGGCACGGGTCAGCGACAGCGGCGGCACACGCGCTCGCGGGCGGGCCACACCGGTCACGTGATGAGGTGGGCGGGTCAGGCGGAGACGTGCGCGGGCCCGCCGGCCAGGTGAACACTACAGACTGACGCCGGGCGTCGCCCTGTATAGCGCTACTCACTAGCCAGAGTTCGCCCCCACATTAACGTCCCACGCGCTAAGCCAAAGGTCAGCCAGGGTCCGTGCTCGCATCAGCGTCCCACACACCACGCTAAAGCGCGTCCCGACATCGAGGCAAGCGCGCGCGGCGCGACCCCCAACTCAGCCTCACGAGCGGCTACCATAGCCCTCCCTTCCCCCCCCCCCCCCTCCCCTCAGCCCGGCGGTCAGGCGTCGGTCGCCGCCGCCGGCCGCGCGGCGCGGCGCTGCGCACCTGCACGTTGTTGAGCTTGCCGTCATGCTTGTGCAGCACGTCCGGCAGGTCAAGCACCGCCTCCGCCAGCCGGTTGTCGCGCTTGATGGCGCTGTGGTCGTACACGGCGAACTGGATCCGCGAGGACGGCTTCACCAGGCTGTCGCAGGGGGGAGGGGGAGGGAGGTCAGTGGTCAGGAGGTCAGATGGCGCTTGTGAGGGCCAACACGAAGGTTGGGAGAGGGGGGGGGGGGCGTCGACGGCGCCAGAGATCTTGTAGAAGAGAATCGCAAGACGGCAGTGACGCAGGTTGGGTCGTGCACCTAACAATGAGTGAGACGCGACGATTCTCTGCAAATTCTCCCATGGGATAACACTGAGCAGGACTGAAACATCTATTGGTTCCCGCAACCTGAAAAACAAAAACCAAACCGCGATAAAAACACATCTGGAAACAAACCCTAATGCAAGTTGCTTACTACCCCAAGCTTGCAATTCCTTGCAAGCTTGGGGCGAGCACGATACATCCTCCACCAGCAACCTAGTGGGTTACTGAAAATCACGCAGTTGAGCTGTCACCATTCTGTAACTCACATGGTGAATGTTTCATTCCAGGTGGGTTTGTATGTGCTTTTCACAGAAACAGTCTTCAAACGATCTTTGTTATCATCCACACCAATTTCCACGTATGGATTCGGTTTAAAGAACCCATTCGCTCGGATTTTCCCGGAAACAACTGAAACGAAGAAACAACCTTATCACGTGGGTGTAATTACGACGCATGAACTCGCCTATGTCATTACGTTCAACAAGCACCACACACATTTCGCGATATGCTTTAAAAATCTCGTCTGATGGCCACTAAACCACACACCACATAGTACTGTAGGTAAATTGATAATCTTTCAATAGTTTCGATGTAATCTCAATAACTTTAAACACATTCCATCGCATAATTTCTACCATAATTTGCTAGCAGCCTTACGAACGAGAATACGGCCACTTCTCTGCACGTCACTAGAGGACAACCGTTCCGTCGCGAGCGCAGCGCTTTCGACGCCGTTCACCTGTGGCGCTCAGTTGGTAGTAGCCCCCAGCGGAAGCGGCCGGCGCTTCCTCATTGGTTGCCATTGGTTGTGTCAGCACCAGAGGGCCATGTCGCTCCTACTGTCGGACGCTCGTCTGCTGACCGGGGGACGCGGCCGCCGCCGGCAGGTCGCACATATGCTGCAGCGAAGGCGCACCTGTCACGCCCGTCGAGGCGAGCCTCAGAGCGGGCACGGTGTCGGTGATCGGCTCTGCGAGCGTAACCGGCGACTAGCAAGGCCTTGTCAAGATCGAAATGCTGTGGAAAATGGACAACTGCATGACCTTTGAGTTTTAATAGCTTGGAATTGTGTTTATAAGGCCTGCCACTTTTTGCAGCAGCCACCGTACCGGTCAGACGGCCACACCAGACCACTGAAACATTAAAAGGTCCCTAAAGAGATTGTTTCATGTAGAATACAACACAGCAGCTAGCAACGAACTTCAGAGCATCGGTAATCTCCCTTCAACAACAAGAACACGGATCAGATACACTTGATAGCTATCCCATCGGAGCACAAAAGGCAAGGCCGGAGCTAGCTATCATTAGATCTGTCAACACCATTTATCGATGCACGCTGCCGCAAAGGTCACCACCGTCGTGAATACCTAACGGGCCGCTATCGGAGCCACCTGGCTCAGAAAAAAGCAGACATCGCAGTCGAACCTTCGTGAAGCCCAGTCCGGTGCTCCCCAGGATATTGCACCTTCCTCAAAACCGAGCACGGCGCGCTATCAACCGCCGGGCTTCCGTCTGCCGTCGGCGCGCCGGCGCCGGCCGCGGGCGGCCCGGCCTCACTCCTGCCAGGCCACGGCACCGTGACGTCGCTCACGACCCCCCCCCCCCCCCCCCCCGTCGCCACGGCGAGCCGTGCGGAGACCGCCCGGGCGCTTCAGTAACTCAGCACGCGTCACCGCTACCACACGCGGAGTGCACATGTGCAGTTGATGGTCGAATGTTTTGCACTATATGTTTGGCGGGCGCCGTTACCGGCTGTGGTGGGGAGGCGCACCGACTCGGTCACGGGCAGAATAACACGGTGATGGGGTGTGCACACTGGATGGAGGGCGGTGCACATAATACAAGCGCTATAATTTCAGGCTGCGTGGACAGGCGCCGGCTATGGAGGTCGGATGCGTCGCGGCTTGTCCGTGCCAACCGATCTCTTCACTTCTCCAAACCCTTAATCAATAAATCAATTGGCACGTCTTTGAATGGGACAGCATGATACCATAACCATTCAGCCGACATCATCGATGCTTGAGGGGTTCAGGCGAGCAGCCAATGCCGTTCAAATGCCTTCCATTAGATCGCATGGTCCGAGGCCAGGAGAGTGCAGTGTCAGCAGTGCAGTGTCAGCAAAACTCATCCAGTGCACTGTCTGCAAAACTGGCTTTGTTGTAGAAAGCACACCACACAATTTTGGCCTTAGAGTTCCTGTCTGAGAAAAGTAGAGTTGTATATACTTGATTGGAACACTATGATCTCTGCTTACCCAGACTCCCAAACAAACTTCTGGGTTTATCAATTAAGGATGGTCCAATTAAAGGATGATGCTCCAATTGACCCATTTTCAACTACCATTCTGCAAATATTGTTGATTTCTCACAGATGACTTCAAACCTACTTAATACAAAACAAACTTGTTTTTAAGAATGACCACAGGTAACTGTTCAGATCAATTCAATCTTATCTCCAAGAATGGCCATGCTGGAACCCAAAGTCAGGGAAAAAGTAAACTTCACACCACTTTCCAAGCACTTTACTGAGGGACTATTTGAACCCACAATTTGTGTGCAATATTTGTTGAAAAATGAATTAAACTTAAAAATGGTCACCTGCTGGAATGATATGGCAAGTGCTGCATTGGGAAAAACTTTGAAACAAATTTATGAACAGCTACGCTTTGAAAGCCCTACCAAAAATTCTACAAGACCAGTAATTTCATCTACTGGTTTCTCAGCTATCACTTGTTTTCACTGTCTTATGTATCATCAGCTTTACCAGCCTTGATAGTTGTTGAGATAACAGCAGCTGCCACTTCACTGGCATCAATTCAGGGACAAAGGACCAGCAAAACTGGTACAGTTTATTGAACAACCACTACTAAATGTGAAAACATAGGGGAAATGGAAATTCAACAGGGTTCACAGCACAAGGCCCAATTTTTCTTTTGTTTCCCCAATAAACCTCTAAAAGGCACACAAAGTCAAGCTATTAACACCACACATTTTTGCATGCCGTTAGCATTTTTCAAAATTCCAGCGCAGATAGTCCTCTCCAAACAACATCTTGCCCACATCCAACAATGTGCAAGAATGTGACTTCTATTAAAAGATGCAGCAGACAAACCAGAAATGCATTCCATTTCTGAACATACTGAATACCTACTCAGCAATCATTCAGGTTATTGCTCACCCTGTCCTCCAGGTGCAGGGTAAATCATATGGATTTCTGCCCTCACATAAGATCATGCTTGAACACAGTTAACCTCCATTAGAGGCTACAAAACCCACACATTGTGCTAAAACCCTACTCAATACTGGTGTACTGAACCTTGCACTCACAGAATGCAAACCATGCCAGATTTAGCAGAATTTTAAAACTTATGTGTAAACTGTTTTGAGACCGCGGCTGTCTGAAATTACCTTTGCAGCCTGACTGTTCTTTGAAATATTGGCTCTCTTTGCCCTGAAAAAGTTGGCAACCATATGCCAAAATTCTGAACACTATGAATTATGGTTCCCACACATTGTCATTGCTGTCACATGGTTGGCCCTATGCCAGATATGCTCAGAGTAACATGTAGTGTTTCAGGCTGACTTCTATAAACCATGCATCTTTTATTTGCTGCCAAATATTATTTTCAATAATAATGATAGAGCCAGCCTTGTTATACTTACTAAGGCAATGAAATCAAAGTTTTGGAAATAATAAAACAAGCAGTTTTGCACCATCAATAGGCAACTAAAAACAATCACTGGGGTAGAAGCCCTTCTCAAAAGCATTATACAGATATTCCATGCATAACACACAATCAAAATAACATCCTGTATCACAGGTTACACAAAAAATGCTCTTGTCACAAGGCATATAAAATAATTGGTTGGTTTTATATGGCCTGCATTCCATCGTAAAGTGCGTCGATTTCGCCACAAAATATTACTGCTCACTACCAGTCATCACAAGTACTTTTTTGGACAAGTGCAAACATACAAACAGCCCAAATATGAACATGAATCCAAGTTGTCACTGAATGTGCATAACCGTATCAGCATCATGGCGACGTAACCATTTTACCTACCTTGCTGAACGCGGCCCCAACTCCAGTTCCCAGAAACCCCGGACTCCGTTTTCGTTCTCAGAAGGTTAGGCTCTCCTGGGGACCACGTAACAATAACTTTATTCTACATACATTCCATGACTGTTTTGAGTCATAGAATAAGCAGACCCCACCACCCAGCAACTCTCAGTGGTTACGGATATGACGCGTTGTGATCAAGCAAACGAGGGTTTTTCTTGACGTCATGGTCTGCCAATCATCACCAATCAACATCGCAGAATCCACTCCACGGATACGTTATCAATGACGTCACAAAAGCTATTGGTTTTAAAGTTTTGTTATGTGTATCTTTGATACAACCTTGGTTACAAAATTTCCGGAATTCCACGCTGGTGTTTGGTAGGTGTGGGGTTATCGCAATCGCGGTTGTATAGGTATAGGCGCATGGATTGTGTGTAACGTATGATGTAGCGTATTCGATATTTTTGTGTTCTTACTGCGTATGTGCTAGTGTAACAGGTATGGTGCTCATCTCCTTATTCTAAGGCCTTGAAAGATTGGAAAACATTTTTTGTACATGGCATGAGCTCATTTTGCGTAATTGCAAGAGCTTCGGTGTTGACTCCTCTGTGTAATTTGGAGTGTCTGATTGTGTTTCACTGCCTTGTGTCAATTTATATGGCATTAGATGCGTAGGTGAAATAATTTGATATCTGTAAGCTTATTTTCAGCAAGCACCAGCAGCAACAAAAAGGATGAGTGCACCACTGAAGCCATGGGAATCAGTCCCTCCATGCTGTCGTCAACCCAATGTTAACAACAGGATGGTTCCTCCTGATGAGTTGCGAGCAGCTGGTGTCACAGTTCCACAGTTCCAGTAAGTTGCATCATTTCATAGCAGCTGATAATCGGTCAAGATGTGCTTTCAAGTTGTGTGGAAAGTACATGTGTGTATGCCGGAATGACAACTTGCCTGGCATGGTTGTGGAGGGCAACTAAGAGTTAGGCTTTCTTTGGTATTCTATATTTCTCTTCAGACTGTCACCTTCCATGTGCATGATAGATGTTAAATGTTGGGAAGATTGCTTTCAGTGGTTGACCTCATATCTACTGCATCCAGTAGCCTGTGTAGGCTGTATGGGCAATAGCCTTGTATGGACAGTCCAAATATAAGAAACAGTGTAAGTTAATGTGATTGGTAATTTCTTGAGAAGGATTAATGTGAAACAGTTGTGGCAAACTTACACATTACTAAATTGGCTTAACACAATTAGTTCTATTTGCATAGATTGCACAGACATGATTTGATTATTTGATGTTGTGTTTGGGTGCTGGATTAAAAGTTAAAAATTGCACATATTCACAGCATGAGAATGAAAATAATTATTATGAAGATGCCTGAAGCCAACACAGTTCATGTTAAAACACATGATAATGTGGTGTACTTAAGCCACAGATGTTCTCAGAAATAATGTAGGCATTCTTATATTAGCAATATGTAGCAGATCCAATCTTAAGGAGAGTATAAGTTGGCAGGAAAGAAGCAGTGAGCATGTTCTCATACAGCCTCCTGAGGTTAGTGACCCCCTGGTTGGTGGAGCTAGACCAGCTCCCTTTCAGGATTGCAAAATGAATAGAGTTTCTTAAGAGCCAACCCCAGGTCATCTTCACATGTTCTCTTATATGCAACCCTTACAGTTGGCATGTCCTGTGCTGCAGAGGGCAAAGGAGGTCAATACCAATGGTGTACTCATCAGGTGAAGACCTAAATATCTACCATTGTCAAAGAACACATATTTTCAACCAGGTACACTTCAATGCATTCAGAGTTTTAAAAGTATAATTACCCACAGTCAACTTGCTGGAGACATGGGTAATGACATAACTACCATCAAACTCCTGATGTCTTGTGGCTGTAAGACACAGACCCCAAACAACAGGGCTTGTCACAAGAGGAAAAATTTGATGAGCAAGGAGACCACAATTAATGTGGCAGTCATCCCCTTAGAAATCTAGCATCTGCTGTCAAAGTTGTTGGTAAGCAGGTACTGGAAGATACAGGAGTAGTTTCACAAAATGAGGAGTTAGGGGGTGAACAGTAAAAAATGAAGAAGCTTTGCCCTAAATACCACACAAATAAGATTTCCCCTTAGATTTGGCCCAGTTTCTTCTCAAAGTGGGGGAAGGGCTGAAGCCCCACCTGAAAATGAAACTATACTCCTGCCAAAGGATGTGTATGTGTCAGAAGCTACTTAAACCACATCTGCACTCAAGACTCAGAAGTGTAGAAGAGCAAGTGACTAGAGTTTGCGATGGCTCACAAAAATTGGACTATTGAAAACCAGGCATGTGTCCTGTTCGCAGCCTTTTGCACGCCCACCTGTCCAATGGGTAAAGCAATGGCGCCTGAGCATATTATGTCTCAAATGTCCCAATTACAAATACAGTGAGACCACCGCTGCAAGATTGTGGTGCGATTGATGTTGAGCGTCTCTGAGCTGTCGTACCTGGTTGTCATTGCCTGATGGCAAACCATCCCAGTCTGCTACTACAAGGAGCAAGAACTGAATAAGCAGTGACATCTGTAGTGCGGCAGCTGAGGGAAGAAGGCCCGTCATACAAGGTCAGACTTTTGTCCGATATGTCACAGGTCATCTTCGAGCAGGATGGCGCCCCCGTGCGTCGAACCACCAAGACGGGGGAGTGGCGCCGAACGAAATACCCGTGGTTCTGGGCGAAGGGGATGTTGCCCGGCAACATTCGTGAAGTGTCGCTACTGGGCGTTTGGAGCCAATCGCGTCAGACCAGTTTAAGAAGATGTTACATCACAGTTAGCGACCAGCTTTGTCTAACCAGCAACCAACGACGCCAGCAATCAGCAACACCTGAGGTGACCCTCATCAGTAGCATCCAGTGAAGTGTCACTGCTGAGCGTCTGTGGCCAATAGTGCAAGACAAGCCCAAGAAGATGGTGCCAGCAGGTGACTGGTCAGTAGCGTCCAGTCGGCGTGGCGTGGCGTCCCCTGGGAAGCGCTGAACAGCCTGATAAACGGGACGCCGGAGCATGCGAGGGTGCGCGCAAAACAACGCGGAGTATGCGGCAACAAATGGACCATAAGGCGCTCTTGGATCGCGGAGGTTACGTCAACTCATGGACCATAAGGTGCTCTTTGATTGCGGAGGTTACATCAATTCATGGGCTATGAGGCGCTCTTTAAGCGAGGAGGTTACGTCAACTTATGGACCATGGGACGCTCTTTAATCGCGAAGGTTATAAATGGGCCTCCAGGCTCTCTTTGATCGCGAAGGTTACGTCAACTCATGGACCATGAGGCGCTCTTTGATCGCGGAGGTTTAAATGGGCCTCATGCTCTTTTGGCTGCGGAGGTTACGTCAACTCATGGACCACAAGGCGCTCTTTGATTGCGGAGGTTACGTTGACAAATGGATCAGGAGATGCCGTGATTGGTTTTGGACCAGCGAGGCTGGAGGAAAGTCAGCATTTATTGGGCACCCTTTTGATAGGGGAGATCTGGCAAGAGCCTGTTCTTTCAACAACAGTTTAACATTATGTTCAAGTTTATTTTTTAGTTTTAGTTGTTTCCCGAGGCTTTGATGAAAGCACAACGGAAAGATTGTCATAACAATCTTAGTTTCTGCCATCCAAAGGCAAAAAAGCCTGAAAAATTGACAACATTGCGGAAGAACATTTCAGCTTTCAATGAAACAGACAGTAATATTTTGATTTTGGTATTGGAGGGATTGGATGGTTCGAATTAAGCAAACTGTCTGCTGCTTAAAGGATGTGATGCTGTAGGTTCACTTTTGCCTTTTGATGGAAGATTCGTCACGTAATGTTCATTGACATAAGCAGTAACTTAAAGTCGGGTCTGGAACCATCATTCGTGGTCATTACACCGGAGGGTCTCAGCGACAGTGAAAGAGGTGTAAGCTTGAGGCTTGGTTGTGTACCCATGATGGACAAGAGTTTGCCAGACGTAGTTAAGTTAAAAATGACTTATGCTGCCTATTGGCAGTCATCCATTGAGGCTCCATGGTGTGAGTGAGGTGAAATTATTCGTAGTTGGATGTGGAGAATTTGAACAAGTTAGTTCTTCATAAGTACCTCTTCCTCCATGAATGGCTGAAACCATTTGGCGTGTTCACAGGTCTACACTGGGTGGTCCTGGCATGGAGCCAAGCATGACTGGTGGCCCCCCACCAGTCCCTCCTCGTCCGATGGCTGGCTATGGCTCATATTCGTCGCCCTATAGTGGCGGAATGTCACCGTATGGAGGGTAAGCTGTACTAAACGCCGTGCAGCAGCCACGGGGAGGGCATCAGCGTTGCCATGTGTTATAACTGATGCTGGAAGGCTCAGTTTACCAAAGCCAAAGATGACGTTGGTTTTGAGTTGAAGCTTCAGTTAGGTCTTGTCAGACAGCTCCTTGACTCTTTATGTGTTGAATGGACTGGGGAATTGTGTGTTTCTTACGACCTTGGAGTTCGTTCATGGCTTTAATTCCGGTGGCGTCCATTTGGAGACACCATTATTGTGTGTGTGGATGAGTGTGGGGTGGGGGGCACAAGGGGCATGTTTCCCTGGTCTTTTGTGAACCCCTGGTGGCAGCGGCGACCCTATTTTTTGATACTGCGACCCCCTAAACCATATTGCAGTGTGGTCCGCGGGGCTCCGATGCGCTTAGTTTATATGTACGCGTGTCCCATTCATGCGCGGTGATGCACCCCAGACCACAAACATCTGAGTTTACACGCGTTCGCGACAGGTTCGGTGGCTTTGGTTCTGGCTTCAGTTCCGGCTATGGCTCCGGCTACGGCGGCTTTGGCGGCGGTTACGGCGGCTTCGGCGCGGCGGGGGGTTCCTTCTATGGGCGGCCAGGAGCGCTGGGCCCCGGCCCAGAAAGCTGGTGAGTGTGTGATCAGGAGAGAGTGTTTGGGTCCCGTTCCCCGGAAAGCCGGGGACATTTCACATGGCCCGAGATACTGAAGGGGGACTCTATCCCGAGATGTGGTGGGGGTGATCCCGTTCGGCCTCGACAGAGGGGATAAAGGATCAGTGGGCCTCCATAGCTGGTGGGGATATTTTGGTCTTCTCGACAAAGGGGGGGGGGGGGGGGCGATAAGGGGCCAATGGGTTTCAGGGGAGGATGCGGCGTGGACAGAGGGATGAAGCCTCACTGTGTTCCGGAGGCTGGTGGGGATTTCTGTGTCCCGGAGACTGGTGGGGATCCACCAGTCTGTGATCAGATAGAGATCTGTGATCTGTGATCACAGATCAGACATCAGACTGTGATCCACTAGTCTGTGATCAGACACAGTTATCCCCACCAGCCTCCAAGACACAGCTGGTGGGGATCACTGTGTCTCGGAGGCTGGTGGGGATCACTGTGTCCCGGAGGCTGGTGGGGATCACTGTCTCGGAGACTGGTGGGGATCACTGTGTCTCGGAGGCTGGTGGGGATCACTGTGTCCCGGAGACTGGGAAGGATCACTGTCCCGGAGGCTGGGGGGATCACTGTGTCCCGGAGGCTGGTGGGGATCACTGTGTCCCGGAGACTGGGGAGGGTCACTGTGTCCCGGAGACTGGGGAGGGTCACTGTGTCCCGGAGGCTGGTGGGGATCAGTGTCTCGGAGGCTGCTGGGGACCATGGGCTCTCGGAGGCCGGTGGGGATCACGTGGTTTCACGAGCTATGGCTGAATCGCCCGACTACAGAGACTGGTGCGGATGGCGTAATCGCCAGCTGTTGGATCCAGTCATCTGGAAATCACATACGGGGCCAACAGGCCCTAGGCCCCGGCAGCTGGCTGAATGGTTTGGTCTGTGGTACATACCACATACCTGTCGCGTCGTCGCACAGACCAGATTTATTGCTGCTAACTTGTCTACCTGTCGTTAGACTCACCTGCTTTCGCGTGTCGTGGACAGCTTCACAAGGGCCGCGCCTGTTGGTTCCGCCGGCAGGTTTATCCAGGCGGCTGAGGAGGGATCCCGCGGAGCATTCGAGTCGATCGAGTCGTTCGTCAGCGTGTTCACCTCGATCAGTCAGATGCTGGAGTCTACCTACATGCTTGTTCACAGGTAGGGGGACAGGACCGCGCTTGTCTGACATAGTACTACCGTCCAGTTGGCCGATGGCTTTAGTTGTGCGTCGCTGGCCCACTTCCATGTGAAGCTAAGCTTCTTGCCGACCTCGATCTGTTTAAGTCAGTCACACTCGATGTCATGAATTTAAATAATTATATCTGTCGTCTTCAAATCCTGGTCACTTGCAAAGTGGACTTTCAGCTCATGTACCTCGTGATTATCATCCATCACTGTCCCTTGTGATCCTGCCTCTTGCCCCCCGCCCAGTGCAACCTCCCCACTGCGCCCCGCTAGTAGCTCAGTGAACCCTCTGGTGTCGTTTCGCACCCTTCCTGTCCTCTGGCCTTCCCCTCTGACCCCCTCCCCTTTTGTCCCCCCCCCTCTCCTCCGTCTCGCCCCCCCCCCCCTCTCCCCCTCTCGCCTCCCTCTCTCTCTCTCTCTCTCTTTGTCTTTCTCTCTCTCTCGTCATGTACCGCCTCACCACCGCTCTGTCCGGCAGCTCGTTCCGGGCGGTGGTGGGCGTGGCGGAGCAGATGGGCAGGATGCGGCTCCACATGACGGAGGTGCTCTCGGCTATCTCGCTCGTGCGCACATTGCGCTGGATTGTCAACTTCCTCCGCCGCTGGCTCGGTGAGTTGCTCAGACTTGTTTCGCTGGGACGTGCTGTGGCCATTTTTATGTGTGTTTTATAATGAGCATTGAATAGTTGTCCTGGAACAGTTTAGCCCGCGGGTTTTGCTTGCATTGCGACAATTGGTTGGTTTGCGTTTTGAATTGCAAGTTATTGGGCGTTATCTTGAATTATTCCTTGGAGTGTGCAATTGATGGACTTTATGTGATATATATATATATATATATATATATATATATATATATGCATATTATATGTATAGCATTAATATTTCGCGATATTATTTCACTTTGGTGAACCATTTTTCCGGGGATTTTCTACAGTCAGCGAGTCCACAAGAATTAGCTTAATCCTGTTTGAAATGCAATGACTGCATTCATTTTAGGATCTCGGAAATGTGCACTTGAAGGCTTGCTTTCAGTTTTGAGAACCGGTTCTTTGGTCTTGTGGTTTGCACAGAACCATATAGTCTCGGTCTTGCTCTGCAAATCTTTGCCACCCCATTATACACGTGGACTCACGCTTAGTTGACACCTATTGCACCTCTGTTGCACTTTTCACGCGTCAGACTTAGGCGCTCGACGCCCCCATGTCCCGTCACCGGGCGGCCGAATCGTGAACCTCCACCTCGCCTGGTCGCCGCCAGGTTACCCTGAGCTGGGTGGGCCGGAGGCGGCGTGGGACGAGTCGGCCGGGCCGGCGCTGCCGTCCTCGGCCGGCGGCGGCGGCGGCGGCGGTGGTGGTGGACCGCGGTCTTCCCGCTGGCCCGTGCTGGTGTACTTGGCCGCCGTGCTGGGCGCGCCGTACCTCATCTACCGGCTGTTGCGCGCCAGCGGCGCCGGCCCGCAGGACACCGGTAGGTCGGTGGGGTACGCTGGGGGCCGCTGCGCCGGGACGGTTAGTGCTGCTGGATGGTTGCACGCATAGATGTGGGACAGGACTTCTTAAAACCAGCCCCGATGCGACGCGAGAGTCGTATGTTTGTTTTCCAATGAAACGGCGTTGGAGGGTCCGTTAGGTGATTTTACATGCGTATGATAGATGCTCGGCATTCTTGTTTATTAAGATTTCAAGGTCTTACGCAGATTGGTAGTGGTCTTGTTCCGACCAGTCCCGTGGTTCAATGTCGTATTTAGCACCGCACCATGACATCCTCGCTTCCCGTTCACGTACTAAGTTATCAGCAGTGTCTACCCGCTTTGCGTATCAGAAAGATGATTTTACGTCATGCACACCCACTAGGTATACAGTGTGCAACTTTTTAAATAGTGTCATCGGTGCAACTGGACGTTCAACCTCCCGGAGTCGCTCCTTCCCACCCGAGAGCGGCTCCTGCCACCCGTCCTCCTCGACCTCACTTCATCGCTCGCCGGTCTTTGCCGCCAGAGAGCTGGAAGGCCGGCGCCGGCGAGCACTTTTCGGCCGTCTGCGTGTACGACTTCAGCGGCAGTGGCGCCGGCGAGCTGAACGCACGCGCCGGCCAGCCGCTGCGCCTGGCGCCACGCCGTCTGCAGCCCCGCGTGCGCGGCTGGGTGCTCGCCTCGGACGGCAACACCGTCGGCCTGGTGCCGGCCGCCTACGTCAAGATCCGCGGCCTGGTGCCGGCTGGCGGGCCGCCACCGGCCGACGGAGCGCCGCCCGCGCCGCAGGGGAGCGCGGGGGCGGGGGCGGCAGCCGGTGCGTGCTGTGGCGGCGGGCGAACGGCGGCGGCGGCGGCGGCGGCTGTCGGCGGCGATGTGCCGGGGCAGGCAGCGAGTCTCGGCGGTGGCGTCTCTTCACGGTCAGCGGCCCCTGCCGGCGGTGTTTCCCAGCAGGCAGCTGCCCCTGCCATTGACGCTGCGTCCAACCAGTCGATAAGTCCGGTCAGCAGTGTCCCCCAGCAGTCGGCAGCCCCCGCCAGCGGCGTCTGCCCCCGGTCCGCCAGCTGCGGCGTCGCTGTCGCCCCGCAGCCCGCCGCTGTCGACGCTTCGAAGAAGACGGGCGGCTGCTGCGGCGGCGGCGGGATGGCCGCTCCCGCCAGTCCCGCCACTCGCCCCTCCGCCGCCTCCGCCGCCGCCGTCGGGCCCAGCTCCGCCGCCTCCGCCGCCTCCGCCGGGCCCAGCTCCGCCGCCTCCGCCGCCTCCGCCGGGCCCAGCTCCGCCGCCTGCTCACGCGGTGACGCCGTCGCCCGAATGGTAGCGCAGGTGCCGAACCACGTCAGCGTCGTGGAGGTGGACGCCGCGCTCGGAGGCGGCGCGCCGGCCGGCGAGCAGGACTCGGAGACCGCCGCCGCAGGCCGCTGAGCGGAGGCCTTGAGTCCGAGCGGTGGCGTGCTGGGTCGGGGGCGTGCTCCGAGTAGAGGATGTGGCGGGCGGGCTAGCCAGCGACGAGCCTGCAGGAGTCAGGGTACAAACTGTTAATAGCGCGCAATATCTCGATGATATGTTAATTAGTACATGGCGCTCCCGGCTGGAAGACCCCTTGTCTTCTGTCGAAGCGCATAGTTGCGGGCGGTAAGCGCTTCAGGGTTGCGAATTTGGGAGTGGCACGGCGTCAAGATGGTTATATTGAACCATTTCGCCGTGGGCATTTGTTGGCGTGTATTGCCTCGATACCTACTGATCCTTGGGCTAAACTACGTGTGCCCGGCAGGTTGGGTGGTGGTGCTTATGTGGTGGCAACGTTCCTATGTACTCATCGTGCTCTGTGACGCGACAGCTGTAGTCTGTCGGGCCTGTAGTGGATCGGATTTTAGCGGCTGGGGGCCAGGCGATGATTGCTCAAAGCTGCCAGGTTGGCAGTCTTTACCTCCGCGGACTGTCCTAATCCTGTCGCGGCGACCAGCGCGGCTGTGGCTCCGCATCTTCTTCTCAGCTGCTCGCTGACTAGTGGTACATGGCAGTGGTGTCCTAGGCTATACTCTGGGGGTGGTGGGTCCGGTGACCTGCGTCTCTCTACGGGACTCTCAGCCCGCGCAGCCTCTCCCGCCCTCGGAGGAGACTCGCCGTACGCTGCTACCTCGCTGCTGTGGGCGGGTCGTCGACGCGTCAGGTTGCGGCCGTGTTGCGTTGTGTTGTGAAGGAGCACCGCGGAGTAACATGGGATGTCAAGGATCAACATTTGATTGTGCCCCGTTGCGGCTCGGAAACGCGCACCGTGAGGGCAAAACTGGGGAACTTTTGTGATAATGATGCATGCCCGGTGATCCGTATGCAGTGCATGCATGTATGGCATCCGATCGGTGCAGTCGTGATAAATACATACCCGTAGCTTAACACGCGCTCGGGTGGGGGGTCGAATTGACCCCCCCCCTCGAAGGTTTTTCGAGAATGGTTTCCGAACGGCGCGGTGTAGCCGTGCCAAATTTTGCAAAGCTGTAGACATTTGAATAGCGGATTGTCTGGCATCAAAATTTAGATTTAGCTTGTAAGGTCGCTGATCTGTGGCAGGCAAAAGTCAGGCCATGGTTTCAGAGAAGGCAATTTCTAGGGAATCGTTCAATCTGATCCAACAACGGAATGTTGGGCGAAGCCATACATATCTGAGATGCTTTTTTAGGCAACAACAATTCAGTGAGCAAATTACGTTGACCTAAGGTCAGGTATTAAGGTCACACCAAGGTCAAAACCAACGTGTTTCATTGCTATAGGGCTTGTATTGGACAGATTCTGGTACTCATTTCGGGTTTATTAATAGCAGGAACCGCATTATGCATCTGTCATGTACTTCTTAGAGGTCAGAATAAGTCAATGACCTAAAATGATCTAGGTCAACATTTTGTTCTAGGAGCATACTGCCTAGCGTAATCTTTGTGGCTTAGTCAAATGCAAAACTCGAAGCAATCTTGTATGATTTTGGTCACATTGACCTTCAAAAGGTCAAGCAAGGTCGCTGATCTTAATGAGAATGCTACCTTTTGCTTGGAAACGGTTATCTACGGTTTGGGGGCACTTAAGTTGACCAATCTGAAACTTGACCTTGTTTGACCCTTTTTGACCCAAAGGTCATGACGTAGGAACCTGAAACTTTGACCTGAGTGAGTGCGTACAGGTCAACACACCCTGTAAATTTGGTGTCGCTAGCTTTCTTAGTTCCCGAGATCTCAGGGGGTCAAACTGACCCCCACCCAAGCGAAGGGCACCTAGCCGGCCACCCGGACGCGCGTGAATGAATGTTTTTGTTTCCTGCGAACACTCGACTGGACGGACTGCTGCTCTAAATGCACAGTGTACAGCACTATTTTATGTTCAAGTCCAAGCGTTACGATAGGTGCTGATGAAGAAAAGCAATGGTTGATGTGACGTCACATGACGATCTGCTTTAAATGCCTGACGATCCTGTTCCCAACGTTGTTTTGGCTTGATGCTGGCAGGTGTACTGCAGCCAGCTTTATTAAGTTAAAGTACGTTTGCAACGCGCTTAAATGGCACTGTGTAAATGCATGGGCTGGAAACATCTTTTTTTTTTCCTTTTTATTTTAAACAACTAGTAATTGGAACGATTCCGTGAGTAAGCACTTCGCGGCCCAAATGCAAACAGCGAGGCATTTAAAACTGACTTCGAGTTCCCTCGGTGGTACTGACTGTTGGACGGAAAAATGTTACCAGGGCCTGATATGGTATTGGCAAAGGCTTGGAAATTAAGGCCCATTTGTGAAATCTGTTGGTGAGTGGGGCAACACAAAGATGTAATGGGAAGACACTTGTCTGCATCCATGTATGATGCGAATGTCCCGAGCTACTGACCCGCTCTAAAGCTCTGTTGAGCAACAAACTGAGTAGCGGGATGGCAGAACGTGTGCCCTGTGCCCCGACGCGACTGGTGTCCGCGACTAGCAGAACGTGTGCCCTGTGCCCCGACGCGACTGGTGTCCGCGACTAGCAGAACGTGTGCCCTGTGCCCCGACGCGACTGGTGTCCGCGACTAGCAGAACGCGTGCCCTGTGCCCCGACGCGACTGGTGTCCGCGACTAGCAGAACGTGTGCCCTGTGCCCCGACGCGACTGGTGTCCGCGACTAGCAGAACGTGTGCCCTGTGCCCCGATTCGCGCGTCTGCGACTGGCAGAACGTGTGCCTTTTTCCCGATTCGTGCGTCTACGGCTGGCATTTTGGGTGCAGCTGTTGCTGCGATCAGTCTAGCAGCCCGCAAATGAAAATAAAGAACAGGGTTGACAACAAGACCAAATGATCGTTGTCCCCAGGGTCATGTACATGCTAAGGCGCCAGTTACGTAAGCGCAGCGTGGTAATGTCTCTCCATACCATTGTCATGCGACGTTAAGTATACACAATCCACCCAGCTCAATGTGCCACGGATCCCTCTGTAGATCGGTGGACTTGCCTTCCTCTGTGTACCTGTCACATCGAGCCCTCTTTCTGAGCAGCCGTCAAAGTGCACCCTCCCTCTGTGGACTCGTTACACGACACCCTCCCTTTGTGGACCCGTTACATCACCCCCTCTCTTCGTGGATCCGTCCCACCATACCCTCCTTACTGATCCGTCACACCTTACCTTTCCTTTGTGGATCCGTCCCATCATACCCTCCCTACTGTCCCGTCAGGTCGTACCCTCCCTGTGTGGAGCCATCCCATCATGCCCGCCCTACTGTCCCGCCACGTTGCACCCTCTCTCTGTAGACCCGTCAATACGTACGCCGCCCCCTCCCCAGACGAGCCGTCCCACCACACCCTGTCCTGGAGCGGTCCGGCGGCGCCGTCGCCCTCGTCAGTCAGTGCCGGCCCGCCGGTCCACGCGCGGTGCCGCTCCCGCCGTGTAAACAGTGGGCGGCGGCGGCGAAGAGCAGAGCGGCCCACGTCTCGGCGCCGGCACCAGCCGCCCAGCCCGCCCGCGGCACGCCTCCGCAGCCATGGGCGCCGCCCGGCCGGCCGCCCGGCGCGCCAGGTACGCTCTCTGCCTCTGGCGGCGGTGGTGTCGCAGGGGTCGGCAATGCCCTCCACCCGCTGATCGGAAGATAAGAACGCCGTGTGCTCTTGGGAGCTGTTTAAGGACTCGTGGTCTGTTCTAGGACATTGGGACTTTTAAGTTGTAGAACGTGTTTATCATATGACGTCTTCCCTTGGATAAAAATAAAAACGATCCTTTTTCCTTTGGATACCCCAGAGCGTATCATGCCTTTCAGTACTTAATAGTTTCTTCATGGCTACTGGACGTAAGGATCGTCCTGGGAAGGAGGGGGGGGGGAGGGCTCGGCTGTCCAGCTACTGATAAAGTGCATGATTTTGTCATTTTCTACGGCGAATAAGTGAGAGGAACATTGGGTGACGTTGCGTTATGTGGTAGTGCAAAGCAGTCGTAGTTCAAACGATCCACTGCGGCGCAGCTCCTCGCTGGGTCTATAGACGGCGGGGACGTTGGACGGTCATGGTTGCATATGTGCGCCAGCCCACAACACATGTATACAGCTTGGATTGGGTACAAAAATGTATTCCCACGAATGTAACACATTGGGTGGATTCGTTACCAATGTGAGCATCAAGCGGACACTCATTTCCGGTCAGATTCCTTGACCGAATTACGACTAGATGGCATTCAAATTCGGCTGAACTATATAAGTGCTCAGCTTTTCTAGGCTGCCTAGCACCTTGCAAGTGCATGATTGGCTGTCTGCATTGCTGGACAGACTTCACGACCGTCACAATCCGTCCTGACCGTTACGCTGTCTGTCTGCATTGCTGGACAGACTTCACGACCGTCATAATCCGTCCTGACCGTTACCCTGTCTGTCTGCATTGCTGGACAGACTTCACGACCGTCATAATCCGTCCTGACCGTTACGCTGTCTTCAGGGGCATCCTTAACTGTTCACCAACACACCGAACTGCAAAACCTAAGAGTCGAGGTGTAGCCAGGTAACGTTTTGCGATGCATTCGGTTGCGGCACGATTTAGTTTGGCGCGTGCTATATGTCCACTATGTTAACTTGGTGTTTCTGTGGATGGTGTTCACCGTAAATAGACGAATACAAGAGGGCAAGTGCCCCTCGCTTTGAAGTTTTCGCCGAAAACACCAAAGGTGCGGAAAACTTCTTCGGTGCGACGTTTTTTACAGACTGCCTAAGCAATGGTTTTATATATGTCACGCTGTTGGTGCGGCAACTGATAAATAATGTGCTAGGGGATAAATACATGTAAATGCTAAAAACTTAACTTACCTTTGAAATAGCAACCAGGTATCAAAATTGTACGTGGATGACCGTTTAAACAGTAGTCCAGCCTGAATGTACATGTGTAATGAAAATGGCAAACCACAGCTTGGGGCAGTGCGAGTTTTGCATTAGACGCCATGAAAAGTACCTTCAGTTTTTGCCAAACTTTCTTTGACACGATGTCACGTGAGGTAAATTGCCCATCATGTCACTGCAAGCCACATATTGCTAACTGCTGACATCGGCAGTATTCGCCCGAGCGGGCTAGAAGAACACTGTTTAAAGAGCCGCAACACAGCCAGAGGTACCAGGCCCAGACACATTGGACACCTCTTCCGATATGGTCAAAATGAAAGAACGTTGAATGCTGAAAAAAGGCCGGCAAGTTAACTGAATTAAACAAAGTTGTTGGACAAATACATGTGCGGGAACAATTTGACTTATCGCGAAGAAATGTTTCATAGGCAAGCGTAGAACACGGTGGGTATGGCCCAAAAGATGGCTGATGATGATGACGAATCTCTTCGATAGATATCTGAAAAGTGTCCGAGTTGTCTCGATTTATTACGTTTTCTTTATATCTGTCGTGTACTCCGCCCTTTTCGGTACATTCGTTTTACGTATCTCCAATTTTAGAGGGCAGTGCTGTTGTTGAATAAGGCGCTAGAAGAGTAGCAGGTAAACTCAACCATAGCTTTCCAGGTACCAGCACAACAGGCTTGTGTTTGACTCCACTCCAGCGTGATCGACTCCGATTTCCGACTCACAGCGCATTGGGTGGATTATGGCTCAGACTCCGAGCCGCGCATGCTACTTTTGGGTCGACTCAGACCCATTGTGCACTTGTTGCTACCGAAGGGGAGGTGCACCCCGACTTCGGAGTCGGTTGTAATCGCGTCGGCCCCGCCAGCAGCAGTTTGTCGTGTTGACCGTCCCATGGGCTGCAGAAGAGCCTGCATTGGGCATACAGCTGTACTGAAATTAATGGAAATATAGGGCGTGCTCCACTTGCTGCGCAGCTGGGTGTCAACGAGAATATCCGTTGTTCCTTTTCTGAGCACATACATCGATGATTTCATCAACATGGTAAAATAAAGGCTGGTTCCTGATCACATAAATCATCAGATGATCAGTCTCGACGCGCGGAGTTTTTGACAAAACAAAGATGGTGTCATTTGTGGACTTAGTTCTGACTCCACCGGGAGAACAAAGATGGTGTCATTTGTGGACTTAGTTCTGACTCCACCGGGAGAAAAGCGCCAGCCTGAAGCATGGCACGTGGAATGTGCTCGAGGTCGGCCAAGGCCAGCACTAGGCGCGTCCGAGATGTAAACTGACAGCTCCGAGTCTGCGCTTTTATCGCGGCAGCCGCCGCCGCTTGGAGAGCTCGAATCGGAATTGTGGGAGCAGCCAGCATTAAGAGACTTCAGATATGGATGAAACCTGTTTGCGTCAGGGTGTGGAACCTCGTAAAGCAGTTATGGGACCGCCCAAAGATGACCTTTGTTAAGAAAGTGTACGGTCTGTCTCCGGACTTCTAGCATGACAATCCTTGCGCCTCATCACGTTTTCTTTTTCATGTACATTTATCATCTCATCCTCTTTAGTGCATCATGATGGGTGCAAGCACGAACAGGCGTCAAGGTCGGACTTATGTACCGACCAGGAGCTCACATGTTTCCCACTGTCGACTAGTGAATAAACAAATGCAAGAAGATCCGTGCTCCCACTTACAGTATTTCTTAAACGGGCGATTCGGTGTTCGTTAGTATGCTACGCTACGAGACTAGGCGTTGTTCAAATCGAAACAGCATATTAGGACCGGGCACGAGCATCTGTATGCGCGTCCGTGGGAAGAAGTGGGATGTTTATTTCAGGTTTAGGGTGAATCGGCTGTTCTGTGATACAGCCTGTAATCGGGTACTTTATGACTTTTGGTAGCTGGTCGCGTTCCATGTGCTAACAGGCGTAGCCATAGCCTAAACTTAGCTCTGCTGCTATTAACAGCTCGAAGCTTTCATTCGTTTGCATTTCATAGGCGAATCGAGCGTTTACATCCCATAAATCTTGTGACTGGTATCTGAAAGCTAAAACATGTGCCATTTTATTTTGCATAGTGCACACGGTGGAAATTTTTGCGTGCGAAGGCCTTGGATCGTGTTTCCTCGTTCTCTCTCTCTCTCTCTCTCAGCTCTTCTCTCTCTCTCTCTTCTCTCTTCTATCTCTCTCTCTCTCTCTCTCTCTCTCTCTCTCTCTCGTCTCTCTCTCTCTCTCTCTTCTCTCTCTCCTCTCTCCTCTCTATCTCTCTCTCTCTCTCTCTCTCTCTCTCTCACTCTCTCTCTCTCCTCTCTCTCTCTCTCTCGCTCTCTCTCTCTCTCTCCCTCTCTCTCTCTCTCTCTCTCTCTTCTCCTCTCTCTCTCTCTCTCTCTCTATCTCTCTCTCTCTCTCTCTCTCTCTTTCCTCTCTCTTCTTCTCTCTCTCTTCTCTCTCTCTTCTCTCTCTCCTCTCGCTCTCTCTGCTATACTCTCTCCTCTCTCTTCTCTATCTCTCTTCTCCTCTCTCTCTCTCTCTCTCTCTCTCTCTTCTCTCTCTCTCGCTCTCTCTCTCTCTCTCTCTCTCTATCTCTATCTCTCTCTATCTCTCTATCTCTCTCTCTCTCTATCTCTTCTCTCTCTCTCTCTCTCTCTCTCTCTCTCTCTCTCTCTCTCTCTCTCTCTCTCTCTCTCTCTCTCTTCTCTCTCTCTCTCTCTCTCTCTCTCTCTCTCTCTCTCTCTCTCTCTCTCTCTCTCTCTCTCTCTCTCTCTCTCTCCTCTCCTCTCTCTCTCTCTCTCTCTCTCTCTCTCTCATCTATATCTCTGTCATCTCCTATCTCCCTTTCTCACCCTCACGCTCTCACACGCACTCCTATCTCCCTTTCTCACCCTCACTCACCCTCTTGCTCTAACTGCCGTCCTCCTTTCCTCCTTCCTTCGCTTTATCTTTCCCTCACGGACGTGTGCAATATGCGTAGTAGTTCTGCACGCCTTCAAGTGCGATGCCCTGCTCATTTGCACAGTCGTGAAGAAGTCGCATTGCGGTTTCCCTTACCACACCAGCTTTGATGGAAATTAACATAACATAAGCATTCTCCGAGTACATATTCGTCTGGTAGCATCAAAGCTGATTCATACAGCAAGGGAACAGGCTTTTGGCCGTGCCGTGTCGTTCGGACACACTGGCACAGGAACGAGTTCGCGCATGGCACTCCACACACAAACTCGGCGGTTGCCAGCGTAAGCAGGCGGTAGTTCTCCCTGGCTGTGGAGTATTCCATTCAAAAACAGCTTGACAGTGTGTCCTTACCAATGGCGGCAGATCCATGTGATCTAGGGATTCTTGGCATGTGCACGTTCTTGCTCGTGCCATCTGATGCTCAAACAGGCCATGCGTTACATGCTTCATCGCAAATGGCGCACGTACAGCTTGATACGGTGTGATTCAAAGGCGGCTTACTTGCGTCTAGTTTTGCATTACGACAGTCGCCACAGAGATGTTTTTGCATTGGCTCTCAAAGTATGTTGTGTTTGTAAACTGAACTTTGCGTTACACCGATGTTGGCTGCCAGTGGAGGTTTCGGTCAGACATCTGTTGAAGTCATCCCTGTTACCTATAGACTATGGCAATGGAACGCGTCAGCTTTGCATCATAAGATTCTGATGAAAAATGTTATGAAACGTTTAAGCTGTCATGGAGGTAC